ATTGTTAATATAAAAATATGAATTATAGTTTTAAGTACTTAAGTGCCAGCCTATGACAGGATTTGACAGTGCACAATCAATAGAGAAGGTAATGGTAACACTGTGACTGTGTAGCTCAAAACTAGATTTTTGGAAACCTTTACAACCTAACCTTGATGCTACACAGTATCCCTCAGTACAAGTTATTTATATACAGAGTTAAAAGCTTAGTTCGGTCTGGGTCTGAGGTTTAATGAGTCATGGAATCTTTGCAGTGAATTGGTGTTGTGGATTGGTGGAAACACATTTGTTACATGGGATGAGATGAACACGAACATGTAACCTTTCCATCATTCACAGACACATTCCTAGCTGTGCACTTTGTTTTTTCACATGATGCAGACAAAAGATGGGGAAGCAGAGCCATGAGACAAGTTTTACATCAGCACCTTAAACCCAACTGAACATGTGACTTACATGAGCGTCGCGAAGGCAGCACACGTGACGGTGAGGTTGTCCCAGGAAATGGGTAGGCAGCTGTAGAGACGAGTGGCGTCCAGGAAAAACACCACAACCGTCATGGCGAAGCAGAAGCACCACGCCGCCATACAGAACACGCCGTGTGAGCCGCTGAACCCGGCACTGTGGACGACCATGGCAATCACCGCACAGCCCATGGCTAACTGACAAAGGCGGGCAGCACCCAGAGGTGAGCAGAGGGCCCTCATGTTGAGGTACGGCCCACCCTGTGAATCCATGACTGGGTGAGTGTCGGAGAGGAAGTAAATATCGTACAGTGAGTTCTTCAAGCTGTTAAACCTTCAGGATTCTGGACGTCCAGTAGAAGAGCGTCCTGGTGCGAAAGATGTGATTTTGACATCCAGAGATGTCTTTCTCATTTCAGCATCCTCGATGAGCATGTGGCAGGATATCTAGAGTCGCAGGTGTTTTAAGGTGCTGTTGTAATCTGTTGTGGGTTGGTGGGATCACGGGGGCATTATTCTGTCGCCATCCCTGCACTCCCCTCTTCCTGCTACGTTTACAGACTCGGTGGGGTCTTTCCGATACTCTGTGTTGATGAACCAGACAACGTATGTCAAACACAGGGGGAATCTCACTTCCAGGTCTTCTGTAAGGCCTCGAGCTGGCCAAGCAGTCACACACACTCAGCTCCCTGCTGAAGATCACGCTGACTCATCAATCTAAATGATCCAGCACCGTGCACCCAAGTTATATTTTCTATTAGAAGAACTTGTAGATCCTTTGAGTCCAGGATGTTTATCCAGCAGTTGTCAGTCAAGATGAGGAACAACTGCTACATGGTCCAGTCCAACCCTTCAGCTGAAATGGTCCGGTCCAGATTCAGAATCCTCTTGGATCAATAACCCAGATACGTCCGTGTTGTATCTGCTGCTGTGCGACGCTCACACTGTGAATCCACGTGGCCACATGAGTCAAAGACAGCATCAGCTTTCCTCAGATGTCAGCTCTCATCCTCTTACACTCTCTCCGTCACACACTCTTCCTCACGCACTTTCTCCTTCTTCACTGTCCCTCCATGTGCTGTGACGAGGGCTTGCTGCCAGTCAGTCAGACCAGAGTGGAAGTTATTTCGGGTTGGGCCGTCACCGTGCGAGTGTCAGAGGGAAGTGTACATGTGGTTGGGCGTGGAGTCAGGCATGCAGACACATCACAGACCCTGTGGAATGAGGTGCAATAGCTGACCCCCTGGAGTCACAGAGTGCACTTATGTCACAGGTGACACTTATCACATGACATATAGCTGGGACATGACCAGAGAGATTTCACATCTGGGCAATAATATAAACAAACCTGTGCAAATATTTCTCACCTCACTCGTTCCTCTTTTCATCACATTTGTTGTTGCCCTTTTTTATGTTTCTCAGTGTGTAACAATGAAGGCTCGTTTTGAAAAGCTATAGAGTATATTGTTTAAAGTACAATACAGTGACTATGTTCATGTCATCGTCAGTTGAAGTATTTATGTCTGATTATTGAGTATTGAGAATAAACACATTGCATTTGTATTCATAGTCTTTTTTATATTCACAGCATGCTACAAATGAAAATGGCAAGACTGTACATTACAGGGGTTCATACCGCACGTGTTAAGTTGCAAAAATATATATTTTTAGAAGATTTTAAAGTGTTTGCTTTTGCAAGATATTTTGTATTTTGTGTACATTATTATTCTCTTTGTGTAGAGTTTCAAAAAAGAGGGCCCTAGTTCCAGAAATGATGTTCTAGCAATTGCAAAAAGACTAATATAATGTTTCTGGTCCACATGGGGGCAGTATAGCAAACTGAGAAAACAGCTTTGATTGATTGAGCTCTGTTCTGATCTCCTCCAACTCCTGAGACGAATTACCAGATACTGTCCATCATGTTGACCATCTAGTCACTAACGGTGTGGGCCTGCTGCTGTCTGGTTCTGAGTGGGAAGTGTACAGAGACCTTAACCAGAGCTAGTTGCTGAAAACAGCTACCCGATGCAGCTGGAGGTGAGGTTGATGGAAGCGGAGCCAAACCGAAGCAATGATCTAAAGAGACAGAGGACAGAACTCTAAAGCTGGGTGATTCATCCAAAATGTGAAACAAACAAATGACAAATGTTTTTAACATCGTGTTCTTGGACATTGAACACACATTGTACTAACCGCAGTAGTGGGGAAGACTGTGACTTGTTTTTTCAGTAGTAGTCTTTATGCTCATTTTTATTGTATCACATAACACATGTGAGCCCTTTTACGGTGAATAACATATCATTTAAATTCCAATCACGCATTTTCCAAACTGCTATTTCCAAAATAATCATCTTGAAGTGTCTTTTTTCTCTCTAATCTATCTAACTACGCTCCCATCTCATGATCACCATCAGCCTCAATGAGCCGTCCTCTGGTTGTATCACCTGTGTCCTCAGGTCTCTGTCTCCACCTGCAGGTGAGGGAGAGCACTGCACACACGTTAATGTCAAAACGTACACAACAGCTGCCTCTGAAGGTATGCAAAGTATGTGAACGCTGTAATATTTTGATGGAGAAATTGATTAATTAATAAAGAAACACATGTAGAAACATGTAAATGGATAAAAATATACAAATATACAAGGAAATGAATAAATTAAATATAATTATAGATCAATAAGATCAATAAATACAGACAATTACATGTATTTATTTTTTTAATCATGATCACTAATTTCTTCATTCATTTATCTATTTCCTACGTAACTTTTCAGCCTTGATAGCTCAGTTGTGTGACTCGAACATAAAGATCAATATAGGAACCAGCTGTGGCTGAGAAGCCCCCTTATACTGGATATACTGTAAGTAACATCAGCATGAGTGAACGTCCTGCTGTTTACCATTGAAATAGTTGACACAAGATATAAATTGCGTTACAGTAGCGCAAAAACTCACATTAGGGGCCTGCAGACAAAACTCCACTTATAACAAGAAGTGGGAAGTTTTGAAGTGGAGCTGCAGGACAAAGTCCAGAATATTTATGTGTTTGTCTTGTTCAGCTGTGACTTTTCCAGCAATGATATCCTTCAAAGCAATGCTACTACACCTGCTGTCTGCTGACACCAAACAGTGAAGATGTGCAGAGTGTGTGTGGTTAACCAGAGTCTTACTGGGTTCGTGTGTCACCTTCTTCTTCTTTGGTTTCTTTCCCAGAAAGGTTTTAATCCGGGACAAAGTTACAGCCACTTAACTCCACTACACTGAGCTCTCTTGGATTATTACTTTTAAATCATGAAGCATCCCTCATTGTCAAATATCCGTATGGATGCAGATATTGATCTACTCCTGATGACACCTATCTCTAACCTATTCTACCTGTCCCTGTCTATATGCACCTGCCCGACTACACAGGTGACCTGGCTGCAGGATGTCTCCTTGACGCAGAGGTCCATCAACAAGGTGGGAGCAGCCATCATTGACCTTTGCTGCTCAAACATACGAGGGTCTGCTGCTCCCAGAGGGGTGCAGGCACCACATCCTACAGCACAATGAAGTTGTATTGAATACATTTTAGACTGGAATGGAATGGCACTGTCGTCTCACAGTGAAAGGGTTCCGAGTCCAAAGAGGTTTTAATTAGCGACTCTAAATGTTGAATGTGACCGTGAATGGCCGTCTGTCTCTGTGTGACAGCCCCGTCCTCCGTCCAAGTCGGGAGGGATCGGCTCGGTAAAGGACGAGCTCACAGATGATGGATGCTCATATATCGTCATCTATCTTCTCACCAAGGCCGCTGTGGTCTTGAGGAACCACTTGGCATTGCTACAGCTGCCACCAGAGGCCCCCCCCCCCCACACACACACACACACACACACACCCCATTTCAAATGCGACCGTGGCTCACTGGCTTAAGAGGGTTGTTCGATCCTCGACTGGGACGTGTCACGTGTCGAAGTGTCCCTGAGCAAGACACTGAACCCCCGGCTCCCCGGGCGCCTGTCATTGGCAGCCCACTGCTCCCTATATACAGGGATGGGTCAAATGCAGAAGTCAAATTTCATGCATGTGTATATGACAATAAAAAAGGGTTTCTATTTCATTACAGCCTTTGAATGTACAACTTCATCTGTATAATACATATGAAGTAAATGAGCAACTAAATGCAGTTCCTTTTTTATATTCCAGCTTAAAATAAATCATAAATCTTATTTTAACGGCAGTACCTTTACAGTATATCTCACCAGTTGTGTGAGGCTGCTCTGAGAATAAAGTTCCAACTGAAAGTTAAACTTCCCACAAACAACACAACCTCCAAGAGCAGCCTCTCTGAGAGCCCGTCGCTTTATTTGGCATCAAAGACTCCAGGGGCAGTTGGAAGTAATTAATTTGCAAGAGGGAAACAGAAAGTGTGTGTGCGCGCGCGTGCGACAAGTGGAAGGAATGCAACTCCTCCCTCATACTCACACACACACACACACACACACGCGCACGCACTCCCCTCTGTGTTCGGCCTCTTTTTGAAGTTCCTCCTGCGGCTAAAAGAGTGAATGAGGGGGCAGCTGGTGAGACGGCTGAGGAGCAGTGTGTGTGTGTGTGTGCGTGATGTTGACATGTGAAAATATGGCCGCATGCTGCTTGTTTACTATAACCTGTGGACAGTTAGATAAGTCAGGGCATGCGAGAGTCAGAGGCTGCGTGGATTTGTGCATCATGAGGTCTGCTCTGTTAGATCAAAGCTGTGGTCTAATTTGAACTTTAATACAAGACAATACAAGTTTTAGTACAACCATCTTTATTCACTTTACACTACATCTTCACCTGCTGAATAAAAGCAGCATCTTGAACACCCTCTCCTCCAAGAGATCAACCGGAATGAAACACAACAATCCTCCAATCTTATATTCCCTATATTCACTCATCGGCCTCGTTATTTTTGATTGTTTCAAAACCTAGTCAAGTGCAAACGCTTCTTCCATGACGGAGTTAGTCCTTTATCAAAGCGCAGTGACGGTTTAAGTGCTCTGCTCAGTCTTCAAGCAGCTTCTCAGACATCTGTGGTGAAGTCTCCCCATCAACACACGGCAGCAGTCTTATTTCTTACCTGTGGGAAAACAACAGCAGACGGTAGTTAATAGCTGTGAAGAACAAGGAACCTTGTTTTAGCATTGGTGTTCATTTTGGCATATCAGAAAGTCTTAATGCTTGAGCTCATCTCTGGCAAACACGAGACTTAAAGTGGTTGCTTTTGTGGGATTGTTTGTGGCGATTCTGTCGATTAAATCAACCGTTAGTGGACAAAAAGAGTCGATCTTTGGTGGAGGCCAGCCGTACTGTGGACAGAGCTAGAACAGCTGTTCCTCCCGTTTCACAGCTGCTCCTTTACACCGAGCATGAAGACGGGAGGGCGACATCAACCTTTCCATGAGACGCTCATATCAAGAAAGCAAATACGTGTATTTCCCCAAATGTCAAAAATATTCCCTTAAATACGTGTTCATTTAACAGGAAGGAATATAAAAACACTACTGAATATTAAACAGAATCTGCAATATGTGACCTGTAATAACTCCCGTGGACACATGATGATCATCATGATGCAGGACGGAGCAGAAAGTCACTAGACGACTGAAGACTGGACGTGTGTCGGCTTTAATCTCAATTCCTGCCGATAATCTGGCATTTTATGATCTTTAATAAATGTAAATCTAGTAAATGAGACAGGTTAAACTACTGCACAGACAAACAGGCTCAGAGTGTGTGTGTGTGTTTAAGTGCCCTCTGTACTCTACGGCTCCACACATGGAGCCGATAATTCCCCCTCCCCCCTCAAGTCTCTCTTTTAACTTTCCTCATGAAAGAGAAAGCAGCCACAACTTTCTTGAAAGGCAGGCACACACACACACACACACACACACACGCACACACACACACACACACCCAAACAAGACAGAGAAAAGGGAGAATTATTCTAAACACAAACATCAATGCAGTGACCACCAGAAACACCACAATACAACAACAGAGCAGCGCTGTGACTGGACGGACCACAGGGGCTCATGCTGTGTGATGTGGCCCAGCAGGAGGAGGGGGGGCATCCTGAACTAATTGGTACATCCTAAAATGCATCCTTATCTTCTGAGTCATGAGGAATTCCGTGTTCAAAAAGCCACTTCCTATCGACTGTGGTTTTGGGGTTTGTGACCACAACAAAAACAGTGTGGCTCAAAACGCCTTCTGTTCTTAAACTAGAAATAAAAGAAAATGAAAAGGACGAGATCTCCGAGGAGGACAGCTGGAGGGGTGAAACACTGGTTTCTGTTTCGGGTGTGTAAAGGTGCTTGGCATGGGCTGGTGTGAAAGGTGTCAATTGGTCCTCCAACTGGACTCTGCTGTGGTTTGTTGTGTAAAAGCAAAGCAGACCAGCCACAAGATTCTGTGACAGTAAAGAGAAACTCCTATTAAACAACAGTGTGTAGCATTTAGGGGGATTTACTGGCAAATATGTAAAACAATATCAAAAAGTATGAGTTTTCTTTTTATATATAATCACCTGGAAATAAGAACTGTTGTGTTTTCGTTTCCTTAGAATGAGTTGTTGATCTCTGCATACAGAGCGGTTCCTCTTCACAGAGGCCGCCATGTTTCTACGGTGGCTCCAAAGGGACAAACCAAAGACTGGCTCTACAGTCAGCACACCGTAGCTCTCCTGCACGCTTCGCACATGGGAGACGTTTCAGTTGGTTGCAAATCTGCAACCTCACCACTAGATGACGCAAGATATTCTACACACTGCACCTTTAAAGCTAACTTTTGATCATGACCTGTTATGGAAGCGATTGAAATAAGATACTGTATTGGCCTGAATATGAGAAAAAGCCGACATCTTATTATATTCGAGGGCTAAAAAACAACGTATTCGCGACACCAGATGTTCTTTTTGAATAGAGAGATCCGGTGTAACACAGAGTATGTTGCATTATGGGTTGTTTGTAGCCTAAAGTGTTGCTAGGCTAACAAGCTTTAATGTCTGTTCATTGGTTTCAGTAAGTCGGCCCTGTGAGTGTTTATGAAGCCCAGTTTGACTTCCAGGAGTTCCTGATGGCTTGTGCAACATGTTTTGCTGCCACGACGGAAATAAATTCCTGACAAGCGAAAACAATCTCCCATGTGAAGAGCAGAACGGGATCATTGAACCGCATCAGCTGCCAAACAGCCAAGTGTGACCAATTTCATGTTGAGGAGCTCAAGAAGACAGCCAGATGAAATCAGGACCGTGTTAGTAAGAGTCCCCACATGGGTCCATGTAGTGCTGATGATGCAGGACAACAGTCACTTGAGCTGTCAGATCAATGTGTTACTCTTCCGTCCGTACGACTTTATTTACAGCTCTTGGTTTGTTTATTAAAGGCCAGAACGTAAAGGCAACAGTGCATATAATTATCTCTTGGTCTGGCCCAAATGAACCAACCTGCAGGTGTGAAAGTGACCGAGCCCGTCCTCACCTGGAAGCTTGAGCCACTTGGGCACCTTTCCCGGGTCAGATCTGGTCGGTTTAGCAGCCTGGGCGTGTGCAGGAGGGCCTCCCTCGTCCTGTGTGGACCCGCTGGTGTCCTCCGTCGGCTCTGGAGGAGGCAGCGGCTCCTCAGAGCTGGAGGAAGGTGTCGGGGACCGGAGCATGCAGCTGGGGGGGGGGGGGGGGGAGAAGAAAAAACAAAAAAACAAAAAAATATTTTAGTTTCTCTGGGAATAATGCAAAGCATTTATTGTTTTCTTGAGGAGTTCCTGTATCTATTTAAAGCATCATTGTTTTTGCACGAGGAGCTAAAGTTGAGTTAAATAACTGGGTGAGATCGAGATCTAAAACAGAGGAGTGATGACCTCGTTAGACAAGCAAAAGGACAACAGGTGGGGGTGGGAGGCACTTTTGGGAAATGGGCTCTATCTTTAGCAGGACTGGAAAATGGTTTTATGTGTATGTTTATGTGCGTGTGTGGAGGAAATGAGGGTGCACGGGGGCACCTGCTGTTCAGGCCGAACCTCAAAGAGATTCCAATGATGACAGCTTTGTGACAGGAAAATAGGCTGGGTGCCGCGGGATACAAGTGCATATACACACACCCTGATGCATGCACGGTCATACACACACGTGAACACACACACGTGAACACATACCTTGCTATGGACTCATTTGCTTGCAAGGCCGAGACAGAGGATTCAAGCAGGTCCCTCTTCATGTAAAAATCTGTGTAGGAAATACACACACACACACACACACACACACACACACACACACACACACACACACACACACACACAGAGTAAACTATTGTTTTGCTATATTACATTCCTCAGTAATACACCAGTATCTAATTCAGAATCTGCATATGAAAGAAAAGAAGCAAAAAGATAAACACCTGTCCTAACGTCGGATCCGAAGTACACCAGAGCACCAGGAAACAGGTCGGCCTGCAGACGGAGGAGAAGGGAACAGAAGCCGTCAAAAACTCATCGAGTCAATCTCTGCAGAAACATGGAAAGATCAAAACAGAACGGCCTCCCTTCAACACGCACACCGAGCGCTGCCAACACAGCCGAGCCAGAGTCGAGCTCCTTTCTGAAGATGATTGATTGCTCGGGGATCTGAACCAGTAACCGAAGTTCTTTGAAGCAAACCACAAAATGAGCAACAATCAGATGGTTAGAGAAAACACTCTCACAACGCTCCTCTCCGGTGAACGTCTTAATGGTGATAATGGACCTTTTGCAGGCAGATGCATTACCAAGCGTACAATCATGAGGTAGAAACGCAGACAGACAGGCAAGCAGACGATGCGTCTGTGACTCTGACAGGGAACCAGACAAACGAGAAGAGTAAAAGATAAACATGCGCAACACAGGAGAGCACGTCAGCAGCAGAACCAAGTCGAGTTGTTTTTAAGGATTAATGACGTAGTTGTTAAAATTACTTTCAGCTGCTGGTCATGTGACCAACAGCCGAGACAAACTTCAACTTTACACGAAACACAAACACCGTGAGCAGTTAATGGATCCTCTAACACAACTAAGAGGAATAATGGGAATGTGTTTTATGAATTGGGCTGTTTGCTGCTATATGTATTCATTCATGGATGTTTTTAGTGTCTAACAATGCAGAATAATGTCTTTAGTCCATGTTTCTATTTAACAGAGTTATCCCTTGTTTCATTTGCTTTGCGAGTGTTGAATTTGACAGCGTCCGTGTTGCACGTCTTAGTGCTTGACAATGTAGTACAAGAGTCTCCTGAATGATGATACTACTTAGATTAATATTCTCACTTCTTCCATTGTTTGTGCACACTTTGTAAAAGGTCAATATTGCATAACTTTGTCAAATTAATCCTATATTCTGTTTTTAGGTTTACTCATCCCAGCCCTCCGGCGTCTCATGGTCACCTCGTGTGCATTGTGAGCGGAAGAGGATGCAACTATAACCAAAGGGGGCGTGGCTCAGCAAGCAGTCAATATATAGACTAATCCTAAACCTTTCACTGTTTCAAATCAACAGTATCGAAAGCGTAGCGTGGCTGTCACTGGGATTAGGTGGGTCATCTCTCCACTACAACTCTCTCCTCACTGTCCTCTCACTCTCTGCCCCCCCCACCCTCCCTAGATGGTTTGCTAAATTGGGACCCATGTGCCTAATTGCTATTATCACAGCCCTGTGAGCAGGAAACAATGTGTTACAGTGAAACATCGGGCATTCCTGCCCCTCTGGCAGCGGCACTTCCAGGGCAACGGGATAAGACCTGTGTGTGTGTGTGTGTGTGTGTGTGTGTGTGTGTGTGTGTGAGTGAGAGAGAGAGTAACGAAAACACATTTAAGAGAGGAATGGAGGGAGGGAGGCAGAACGGATCCTGATGGAAGACAGAGGGAGAGACGGATGAGGGAGGGGATGCCTGGTATCAAAGGGCTTCTGGGTTGGGAGACATTCCTTCCCTGACATGACACAAAGTGATTAAAGTGTGTGTCTTTGTGTGTGAGGAAGAGACATATGCGTGTGCACTCATGTCTGTCTGACATGGCAAAAAAAAAAAAAAAAAAAAGATTCCTCGTGTGTGTCAACGATTGATGTATAGACAGGGAAGCAGAGCCAGACAGTGTGTGTGTGTGTGTGTGACATGAAACAAGGAGATTAAAGGGTTTTTTGAGCGCTTTAACGCTTTTAAGACTCTAATGGACAGAGACATGGGGGTGAGGCACAAGAAAGGGTCGGAGAGAGGGACAGTAGTGGTGGTGGACGAGTGTGGGGGGGAGAGAGAATGAGAAGAAAAGAGGGAGAGAAAGCTGGAGTTGGGGTACAGGAGAGGGACGTGTAGTGATAAACAGGCAGAGACGGGCGACTTGCATCACAACATCACATTTGATTCAGAGGGATCACAGCACCAAAAGGGCTTCCATCTCTCACACACACACACACACACACACACACACACACACACACACACATTTCAAAGTGTGCATTTGAGGATCGTTATCTTTTGAACCAGTCCCTCTGAGGAGCTGAACACGATCACAGCGTGTGATATCACTTCAAACTACTTTCTCTTCCTCCCCTTTTGCTCCTCTTCTTCTTCTTTCGTCTACTTTTGGTTGATTCAAAGTGTCAGAATATAAAAACCAGGAGGCGCCGATGAGGAAAACGTTCCAGCTGTTATAAAAGAACAAGGACAGTCTACGAGGGCGTCTGTGTTCAGACTGATGAACCGTACAAGAGAACAAATTCTTGTTTTGTATTTGTTTCTCTTTCATTATTGGAATAGCTCTGAACTCAGAGGCAACAAAGCAGCAAGGCTGCCCAATTCTGTCTGTGTGTGTGTGTGTGTGTGTGTGTGTCAAGATCAAAGCGAGGCCTGTATTAACCCCATGTGCCAGTCTGGGAAAAATCAAGCCCAGCTGGGGTCAAGGACAGTGGAGAATGGGGAGGGACAAGTGTGAGAGAGAGTAGCAGCGAGAGAGGAGGGGGAGAACGGGAATGTGTTGGGCTTTGAAGAGGAGAGAGGGACCACTCGATACATTTTACAGTCTCTGTGTGTGTGTGTGTGTGTGTGTGTGTGTCAGAGTTTCTGTAGTTATTGTTTTGTTTGAGTCGAATCCCTCCGTTTACTCTTGTGGTGAGAAGAAAGCGTTGCCTGAAGACTCACCTGGAACAGTGTGTCTGAGGGGTCGTCCAGGATGGTTTTTGGGGGGGTGATGACTGAAAGAACGTTTCCACCAAAAACAAAAAAAAGGTAAAAATTAGAAAGAAGGAACATCACTCAAATCTTTAAAGTTAAACTGAGCAAGTGAATTTAATAAATGATGAGATCGATGTTCACAGACAGACTATTTGTTAACCTGCAGGCTGGACACGAGGATGGCTAAATTCATTTCACAGCTTTTTGGGGAAGTATGAATAAGAGCACGTTGGTGGAAACAACATTTTCATGCACACAAGTAGATCAAGTCTAGAGAGAGATGCGTGTCCACTCTGAGCACAGTTACAGTTAGATTAGATACCTCTAATGTACGAGGAGGCACCGCCTGTAAAATGTAACAATTAAACTGAGAAAAGCTGATAAATGAATCATTAAGAATTTGTTTTAGAAAGATAATTCCAGTGGGTCCTTTTTTAACAGTTTTGGCGGTTATGATAAGTCACCAATTATATTTTGGGAATGCAGCGTGTTCATTAAAGAGAAAGGGCAAGACACTGGAGCAGTCAGACGATCGGACGGGCTTTAAAGGATCCTCCGGGTCAGCCGGTTTAAAGGGAGGATGTGGTTTCGATAATCGGACTAATCTTTGGGCTCGTCCACAACCTTTACGATTCTCCCGTTTCTTGCCCCGTTGGACTTAATCGGAACTACTTTCTCCGAGTTGTTTTCAGGTCTCAGCAGTTACTCAATGAGTGGAGACCATCGGCCGGACAATGTACCGACGATATGAGCTTTTTACCGCATGTACGATGGCCGATAAGTAGCAAGAAGCTTCAAACGTTTGTTTATGTCAGGCGTTACAAATCCATCACCAGTCAGGTTATTGTCCCAGCTGATAGACATGAGTGCCGATGGTGGATTTATATGTTGTGATTGATTAGTGGGAGAGTAAAACGAGACTTACACAAGTAGAAACTGAGCTGAGGATCCTCCAAGTGACTCCTCACAAAATGCCTCACAGCACCAACTGGACACAAAACAAACACACTTCATGATGAGCAAACTGATCTACGTGCAGCTTCCTCCGTCACCGTGCGGAGGATCATTCATGTTTCAGATGGAATTCCCCTCAGACTTGTTGTTGTGTTGGTTGTCGTGTTGCTGTTCGGGCTGAGGTGGATTTAATCCCTGGAATTACAGACCTGTCTCTCTGTCACTCTGGTGTGGCTACAGTCATAAATGTGGTGAGGGAGCCGCAAGTAGCTCCAACATTGCAGCCATACCTGTGGCTAGCCAGCTGAAATGAACACTCCCTCCCTCCCTCCCTCCCTCCCTCCCACACACACACACACACACACACACACACACACACACACACACACACACACACACACACCTGTCTCCAGAGGCCTGAAGAAGCCTTGTAGAACATGTCTGTCTGGAAACTGGACCCTCAGGACCACCTGGAGACACAAACAGTGGCAGCAGGTTACACAAAGTCTGTATATTTCACACAAACACGCCCATTTAACAACAGGATAGTGATTATTTGTCTGTACTTTAGGATATCTTTCCATCTTCTCCTTCATCTGTGCTTCTCTCAGAGATTTAGTCATCAGCGGAGCCTCCTCCATCAGCCTCCTGGGGAGAAACAGACAGACGCACACGTGTACGGAGAAGCGCTGTGAAATAAGAAGCAAACAGTGGAATCGACAACGGGAGCGATGAGCAGACATTGTTTCGTCTTCTACCCTTACTCGCGTGTGGCCGCGTGTGCGTGACAGAGGCAGAGACGAATTGCTGTGGTCGGCTTAATTCCCCCCTTTGGTAATTGCAGTCATCGTCACAGTAGTAGCGTAGCCATGAGGCAGCCGGCTAAGTCGATGTAGACGGAGATTAAAGGATGTGCGCGGCGAGGTCTCAACCTGACGGTGTTTGGCCCGACGGCTGGAGGATAAACGTCTACACATAACAGACTTACTAATTGCTCCCCGTGTGCCGTATTTAGAAGCGTTTGTAGTGTGCGCGGTGGTTGTAAACAAGTGAAGGTTTGCAAACACACACTATGTCTCCGCAGCTGTAGTCTGGTGGGGCCACATTCAGAGAGCACAGCGTGAACTTCTCCGCATCCGTTTTGAAGATGCGCTCATAAATACATTTAAAAACAACAACTTCAAACTCACAATAAATAAAAAACAAACAAACTTCAAAACGCACGCAGTGATGCCTCCCTACCTACGGCCTCTCATCACTGCTATGGTATTCTGCAATTAAGGGTTGTACATCGACAAAAACACCGCAGGGCCGAAAGCCAAACGGACTATTTATCTGTCACAAACACATCTGATCCAGACGCGTTTCTGCAGCAACAAGGTATTTATACTAAATATCACACAAGCGCTTCCATCCACTTCCTTCTCCCACCTCTCGCTCTTCAGCTGGGCGAAGCGCTTACGCACATCGTCCATCGTCACTTCAAAGAACTCGTCCGGTGGATCTCTGTGGCCCTCGGAGTGACGGGACATGGCGTCCAGGTGGTAGATGAGAGGCTCCCTCTCTACGGGCTGAGCGAGGGGAAAGGATAGGAGACTTAAAAGATGTCCACACTGATGGTTTCTACTAAAGCAGAGGATTTCAAACTTGGAGCAAAGATACTGTGTGAGGTTAAAGGGGGCGAGTGCAGACGAAAAACCACGGTAAGTAATTTATCTGTTATGAAAATGATGCTCATTCAAGATGGAACACACACAACAAGGGAAGCTGAAAGAGACGGGTATCCGGTTAGACGTCAGGAAGTTCTGACAGGAAATAAATGGTTTTACCTCCAAGAACTCCTCCCCTTGATCCATGTCCTCGTCCGGCTGGTCGGCGGTGGTTTGACGCTGTGAGAGGAACAGAAGAGGTCACCAGTTTTACTCGATTACTTGTGGAGAGATCGTTTGTCCACATGCTTCTGGGTCGATAAATAACCTTTAAACTCAACGACAATGATGTGCGATTTGCCTTTTAATTTCGCTAAATATTGGAGTTAACAAGATGTGAATTCTTCGGGTTCTAATGAACACAGAACTAATTAAACAGTAAAAGAAATTACTTGCAATGAGAAAACAATTTCATGATAACTGGGCAAACTATAACTGCTGAATAAACATTATTAATCCTAACATAACATATCAGGACTGATGTGACTCACCTTGGTGCTAGATCCATGGCTGGACTTTGCTTTCTTGGCTTTTGGCGATTCTGCCGCTGCAGTCGGAGCCAACAGAGACGAGGATGACAAGGACGAAGATAGCGAGCGTACCGCTGCACTTCCCCGTGGACCCCCAAGGCGCTGACCGCCTCCAGAGAAGGGAACGAAAGGAGCCGCGGGAACCGAGGGAGCCGAGGAGGAGGAAGAAGACGGGTGAGAGCTCAGTCCTGAGGGCCCTGCTTCCTCGCCATCCTCCTCTGGCGTTCCTCTCCCGACGGGAGGACTCTTTGGCCGCACTGCATCCTGGGAGTTTGCAACCTCTTCCTGTTGAACGGGAGGTTTGCTGCATGTGGCGGGGGCGGGAGATGGAGCAGCGGGGGCGGGAGATGGAGCAGCGGGGGCGGGAGATGGAGCAACGTGGGCGGGAGATGGAGCAACGTGGGCTTCGATTTGCCGGTGGGGGCCTGAATTATTATTTGTCACATCTGTTGTTGAGGGAGCAGGATCGGGCTGAGGGGGCGGGCTCGGTGTGGGTTCCTTGGCAAAAGGTGCAGTTGGCACAGCGGCTGTTTCAGTGGCTTCTTCTCCATCTTCCTGTCCCGGTTCTTTGTTCTTTTTGAGTAAAAATCTGAAACAAATAAACAACAGCTTTCCCATGAAGTCTCAAGTTAAAACACGTTTGTGTGCAGAGTGTTGTTTATACACAAGCAACCTACCTGACGATAGCATTTCCTCCTGTCAGACCCAGAGACCTCAGAGTGGCCTTCTTGAGTGCTTCTTCACCACTCACCTGCGCACACGCACACACCTTAGTACCCATAAAAGTCACTTTATTTTCTTGAAAATTGGAGTTAAAGGAACATTGCATACCTCGTCTCTCATGTAAACACACACAGGAGTGGATCCTGACTCTGACAAATCGGACACACTGGAATCAGGTGGAAACAAGAAAAACAGATTAAAGTTAAAGGGCGACTGATTTTTGTTTGCTTTAAAAGCAACGTAACTGAACACAGAAGTGGCTTCGCCTCAGCCCTGTGATGTAGTGGCATGTCTGCATGTGTAAACCATGCGAGCACAATCCCACGTACAAACTAATTGAACCATAAATGTTTTATTATTGTTCTCCACAGATCTGAAAGGCGTTCCCCTCAGCTTCAGAGCGTTCACGCTGATGTGGAGCTAATACTCGTTTCATGGAAGCGTAACTTCCCTGGAAAAGGATCAGTATCTGGAGCGACGTCATTTAATAGAGATGAGGGCTGGACGGACACACGAGCACCTGGGACCGCACAGCTGGAACTGCTGAGTAACAGCTGCATGCGTGTGTGTGTGTTTTTAATTACAGCTTTCTAAGCATCATTAATCTATTAATTAATGTGAAAGTTGCTAAATGATAATAATATTAATATAATAATATGATTAATATTGAAGAGTCCTGTGTGTCTACGTTCACTAACACTGAGGATATTGTTTAAAGAAACATCTGAAATGGGAATACAGAACTACACTAACTAATTGTATTACCCCAACCTAATTCTAACCTCAACCCTAAAACCAATTCTTAACCCTCGAACAGCTCTGTGAAGAATCTGTGAAGCCATGCTGGTTCTCAGTTTGGTCCTCACAAAGAAAGATGTTCAACAGCACACACACAACTGTACACATGCGTGAATGCTCATACACACACCTGATCTGAGGAAAATGTGTGAGCAGTTCCCACAAACTCTGTCCACACGAGAAGGAACCCTGGAGCCGAGAGCCGTCCTCCATCTGTAGTGCAATCCGCACCTGAGGGATATGAAAGCACAGTCGCACACAACTTCAGTTCAAACGCCATAAACACACTTCACATATAAACCAGGGTCCATGATCCAGGAATCAACATCAGGTCAAAATGATCAACAATGCATCCACATCTCACAGCATACAGGTGCCTCACACTACAGCCGGCTGTGAGGTAACTGAAAGGGTCGTTTTTTGTGGCAGTTTTTGCATTTATTATAATAAGAGCTCGTAAAAAAAAAAAAAAAAAAAAAAGGGGCGTTAAAGGATTTAAAAAAAGAAATACATGGCATAGAAACAACCCGGTTAAAAACTGTTTATTTCTCTATTTAGTGCATCGCAACCTTTCATGTTGAGGGAAACTCACAATATTAAGTTTAGAAATCTCTCTCGGTGGTCATTTGTAAGTTCTTGGCTCGACAGTCTTGAGCCATTTTGCAGGAAGAGAATTCTTTGATAATCAAATGTGATTAAGCTGCACATGTGGGCCTACCTCAGTCAGGAAGTGAGTAACACCAGGCATCAGTGCGAGTCTCTGTTGTTCTTTCTCTCTCTGAAGTCATTCTACGAGCTGTTTATGTTTACTCGACAACCGCGGCACAGAAAGCACATCGGCACACCGGGAGAGATGAAAAGAGCTCTCTGGCTGTCGACCGCTAAACACGAAAGCCTCTCACACACCAGTCTGGCGGAGGTGAATGTCGAGAGGTAAACGAGTCAGTGTGTACGAGCATATCAAATCTGTGAGGCATCAACGGTCAACCATCCATCAAATGAACAACAACAGATCAAACCCAGCCGGGATTTTACTCGTGATGTCATAGGAAACTACAGCTCAGCTACAACAAAGTGTTTGTATCTGGAGATCAGAGTGAACGCAGGAACACAGACGAGCATCCAGGTACCGTCGATGAAGAGCCCACACATACAGCTGACAGAAACACCAAAATAATACCGATATTGCGACCGACATTTCTCCCCAAACATGATTTGGGGTGAGACGAATAATCAATATGTTGACATGGTTGTGTGACGATATTAAGTTTGTCCTCAATCAAAGAAATTTGATACGATTTTGTCGACTAATCGATTCGTTGATTGAAATCGACAGATGTGGAAAAATCACCACAAAGAATCACACAAAAGCACCACTTTAAATCTCATGTTGACCAGATGTGTGCTCATAAGTTTCTTGGAGAAAAAAAAAAGCACAAAAACGACCCTTTAAAAAAAAAAAAAGGTGGAGTTGGTATCCGGTGTCTGTGGCTGAGCTACCTGCCTGTGTACCGAACAAAAACGAGCGATTAGACGACTATCCAACTGAAATAGAAATAAATTAAATGTAGAATCCACATGTTTAAAAAGGATAGTTATGTGCTACGCTTTCAGTTTCACTAAGTCAGGCCTGAGAATAGAGTTACGACTGTAACTCTAGTGCTAGAGTGACTCTAGTGATACCGACTAGCAGACAATATCAATATGTACCCTTCCATATTGTACTGACACACTCATACACATACACTCATGTTTGTTTGCTCGCTCTCTCTCTCTCTCTCTCTCAGACTTGCACTTTCTCTAAACTAACCTGGCTGTCAGCTACAGCCTGTTTCCTTGTACTTGTCACCATTTCCAGTTTGGCATTGTTGGGCAGGTTGGCAAACCTCCAAGGCAGCGTGAGGTCAACAGCGGTCCTCTGAAACCTGTCAAACGTTGATGACAGAAGAGAGGCGGGTGAGGATGATGGGACAAAAACAAAAACTACCGAGCACCATTACGTTTGATGAAAGATCTATACTAGGCTTACTAGAGGGAAACTATGACATAATACAAATGAATGTAAAAACAATATTACACGTTTTTCTAACTAATAAGTAAAATCCAGTGGTTGAATTCACCTAAATAAGTTGGGACAGAGCCCTGCTACTACACAATGTTTCAACGTGTCTAATATCAGCAGCCATGTAAAGTCACACAATATTCTTCACTACTTCACATGCTTACACCCAACTCAGTACACACACGTGGCTCACACGTATCGGGCTTTACTTAGACGCAGTCTGGGCTCAGGGCAGGAATCTAAAGCGAACATTAATGTAGCTTAAACGTCAGTACTGAGACAGCTAGCATCAACCACCTGATACTCACTTCAAGCCGTGTTCGTCGGGGTTGAATCCATGTTTTTTGCAGACGTCCTCCAGCACCTGAAGATGTCAAATACAAACCCAGTGAGGAAAGTTGTCGCCTAGTAACCGAATCATTTACTTTCATCCGCACAAAAACAGAAACTGATCTGTCACTGGCTAACGAGCGTTAGCCAACTGCTGTTAGCCAAACGAGCTAACAAGAGTAGAAATAGTTGCTCTGGTTCGAAGACAAAAGAACAGAATAAAACAAACCGTCCATGTCATGAAACACGCCCTTAATACACATGTTACCTGTAATAACGGTGTGTTTGAGGACACTTTAACTGCCTGTCTTCTCCCATTAGGAGTGAGAACCGTCACAGCTGTACCACTGGCTGCCATTGTGTGTCGTGACGTCCGCGGTGTTTATTTGAATAAACTTTATTGACACATTACCGGCTTTCATTTCCAGGGGAATTAAATGACAATTGATGTTTGACAACTGACATATTGTGCAATATATTTCAAAATATTAAATAAATTCCACAAATGTAGATCATGCTTTACTTCAGAACCATGCAGTGATACAAGAAATCATACATCTTTTATCAATGTAGCTTTTAATATATATCTCACACACAAATATATGCAGACACTTGACAAACTAAAAAGCAAACTTGAATGAGAAGAGAAACATATAATGATGCTTTCATACAGTACAGGTATATCGTGTGCGGTACAACATGCTTTAATATAATATTTTCTTGGTATAATGCTGCACATACATGTGTGTATCATGCATGTGTGTACATGCAACATATATCAGGGAAGGCAGAGCGAGCCCCCTCTGCACTGAAACCACTTATGTTTACTTTTTATTAGTCATCTCATGTGTAACCTTGTAAATCTACTGTATTCAAGTTTTAGAATATTATTAAGAATGTCAATAAACCTCATGAGGTGGTTCAATCCATCAGTTTCTTTGTTTCATTCCCTGTCTAGGAAAATCTGAGTTTGTCTTATAAATTTGTCCATATGACCAACATCATTTGAATATATTTTTATTTTATAGAAGACTCATCTTTGAGCCTTAAATTGTAAACCAAAGGGTTCTATGTCCACTTAACAAATGGATGCTGAGATCTCTTTAAGATAGATTAGTTAAATCCCAAATAAAGCTCAGAATTTGTTTACAATTCTTGTCCTGACCTTTAGTAGCCTATGACTTATTCAAAAACATGATATTACACAACATAACCAACTCATTATGAATCTGGCTAAACAAGCCTGCTTTAGGTGTAGCGACCCTCATAGGAGAAGAAGATAACTGCCAACAACACATCCAATCTGTTCCACATATGTCTGACTTCATATGTAGTTTGACAGACGTCCTGCACCGACATAGAGAATCAAGACCGTTTTCTCTCAGCATGATTCAAGTTGGATCAAAGCAGGAATCAGACTGGACAGACAACACAACACGTGTTGCCAACAGATGGAGAGGTGTGAAGCCAGAGCTTCAGAGGGCATACAACCAACTGAGTTACCGCTGCAGCAACATTTAGACATTCAGAGTCAGAATCCACCTAAAAGAGAGGGAGAGGGAGAGGTGAATACAGATCTCAGTTCAGGGGGGAAATTGCCACCGTCTGAATAAACAAACAAACAATCAGTTTCCTTCCTCCATCTGCAACTTCAAAACTGCCTGATGGAGCGTTAAAGCACAACAAGGCATCTGTGTCTTTACACAACATTTTCACCAAAAAAAGCCTTTAATCATCACTTATTAAAAACAGGATTTCCTCTCTTGCAAATCTCTAAAACCTATCAAAGTTAGAAAACAAAAATGTAATGGCAGTCTTGCTGAACGTTAGACTTCAAGATGTTAAATCATACTGATTTTAACAGTTTCTATTGAAGTGAATAAAAGAAGAGCTTTTATAAATTGGATCAGTATATGACACATTAGATTCAGGACACATTTCAAAGAGACTACAAGTTTAAAAAAGTGCTTTAGATGAGGATGAGGGAAAGAAACACTGGAACCTGGAAATCTTTGAAGAAACAGTGGACACCTTTCTATCAAAGTGCTTCAACCACATAAAGGTGAAACCAAAAAAGCCTTTCCTGTCTTCAACAATGAAGAAATAGAGAATGGCAGCCTAAAGGAAAAGGAGACCTCTGAAGGGAAAGACAACCCTCAGGATTCAGTCTTTCTTGGAGTAAAAGTTGATGAGCTGCTCTGAACCTCGATGGGCTCAAAACATAAAAAACTCGATTCGTTTCTAATCAGCACCTGTGAAATGCATTTGAACGGACTCTTCTCTGTGAGATGAAACACGTGTATCAACCTGATTGTGTTGACTCATGGTGTGACCCTCCGCAGCCTGTCCAACGGGGCTCCTTCACACACCATATTCAATCGAAGACACTTCAAAGGCAGCGCGGTACGATGACATTACATCAAAGAGAGCAGCGAGTGAACCGACTGAGGGGGCGTACCAGGCATACGCACACTCTTGGTGTGAGACCGACGCCCCGCGAGGAGCATCAGCCAACGATAATAACGATTGGCCCGCGGGAGTGAGAAGCACGGGGCAGGGGGAGGGGGACGGTGCAGTTACATAAAATTCCACTTGGTCCACAGCTCATGAGGACCTGGACCAAGACCTGGACCAGGGTCTGGGCTGAACGAGACTGGCTTCAGGGACTTCCACGACGCGCGTAATTACGCTTTAACTCCTCACAATTTTAGGATTTAAGTGATGTGGGGACTGCGTCACATGCATCCGATGTGAATTTTAAACCAGCTCTCCATCTCTCAAGGCACCATGCAAGACCATAACCTGAGTTCCTTCTGCTCACCTTTCATGAGCGATAACTTCCTAAAGGTCTCCGAGCGTTTCCAAAGAACTTTGAACTTTTCAAACGACTCTTAAATATCCTGTGTATTGTTGAAGTTCCTTACACACATTTGAGATACGTTTTCCAGTAGCAATTAGACATGCAGATCCGTGGTGTGCTGAGGAGCTGGGCCGGTCGGTCTGCGGTGCGCTCCTGCTTGCTGCTGCTCTTCATCCACGTGAGCGCACCGGTGGAGGCGAGGAGCCAACACGGCCGTCGGACGCAAAGTCTGCGGGCGCAGCAGCAGCAGCAGCAGCAGCAGCCACTTGCGCACAGGGAGCGGGTGGAAGGAGCAGAGAGCTTTCCCTTAGACTTTACAGCCGTGGAGGGCAACATGGACAACTTTGTGGTACAGATAAAGAACTTGGCGCAGTCGCTGTACCCGTGCTCTGCGCAGAAGCTGGATCAAGACATGAAGTTGCACTTTTTGAAGAATGTAACTGTGACTTGCAATGATGGGTCAGCAGCAGGGTAAGTGAGTCGGATGCGCTGCATCTAGACGTTGTCAATAACTCAGAACATGGCACTTAAAAGACCTGTCATCATACTGGTGTGCAGTGCGTTTTTGGGGGTTAATAAAGCCATGAATACGCAGAGGCTTAGTTCCGATCTGCTTCGTCTAACATCCAGTTTGTTTTACTGTGGTGGTTTAGTTGCCTGCCCTTCAGTCCATTTACACTCCGGATGTGACTAAAATGGATCAAAGGACCAGATCAGAGTGAAGGCAGTGCGCGCTGCCGCTGAGCACTATGGCTAAGCACGACACTATGCATGCGCGCACCCGATAGAGAGGCAAACGCTTCCTACCCTGCAGGGATGATTTGATTTTAGTCTGATGGACTAAAGTTGTTGAGTCAGGTATTTGCATTAAAACCAGACTGATGAAGATCGATTATAATGATAGTTTTCGCTACAGTGGAACAAATACAAGAATCATGGACTTTTATGAATCATAACAACTTGCAAATTAATCTATCAGTTGGACTTGGACAGTCTTGGTTATGGACTAAAACACATCTCACAATCATCTCACTGGACCAACAACGTGTCCAAGTCAGAGTACAGTTTTGATCAGCAGGCTGTCATTCTCAGCAGCTACTGTAAGAGTAAAAAGTATGAGTGAAAATCTTCAGCAGATCAGCGCAAGATCTCATTTTTAGTCAAATTTGCACACACAAAAAAGTGAAGGAATGGATAAAGGGCACCGTGTTCCAGAGGCTGATTAATTCAATGTGCTCTGAAAAGAGGCAGAAATAATACATCTCAGTACTTTTGATGTGATAGACTGAAAGGATCACAAGTCTGTTGGGAATGAATATGACTCCTGTATCATTAACGGGTGAGGCGGTGCAGCCAAATACAACAGACTGTAGCTGTTCACAGAGACGAACATTACATCAGAAACAAATCCTCAGAACCGAATCATTTTTTGGGGTTAGCTTTTAGAAAAGCGAGGTATTATTGTTATGCTTTAATTTGATCAAACAGGATTTAATTACCAGTACATTAAACAGTATTAAGTCACCAAATAAATGAAACGCTGTTGGGTAGATAAGATGCGTTTTTTCTGTTTTTAAATAATCAATTTGAGCTGTTGAAGCCACTAAGCAGACTCCTGCTGTGATGCATTTTTAGCGGTGCGATCAGAGCCAAATACTTCATGTCAGGAGGATCAAAGGAAGCATCCCTACTGTGTAGCTTGTGGTGTGTGTGTGTGTGTGTGTGTGTGTGTGTGTGTATTAATCTGTGTGTGCATGCTTGACACAGGTACTACATCAAGGAGTCCAAAGGCAGCAAGAGGTGGCTGCTGTTCTTACAAGGTGAGGATGAACCGAACACAGATGTAGAGCTCATTACAGGGAAACACAACTCAATGTAACATGTTAACTGTGTGTGTGTGTGTGTGTGTGTGTGTGTGTGTGTGTTGTTCAGGTGGATGGTACTGTTTCAACAGGCAGACCTGTGACAGCAGGTATGAGACAATGAGGAGACTGATGAGCTCCACCACATGGCCGCAAACCAGAACAGGTAACAAGACACGCACGTCCTGCGTTGTGTGCAGCACAATCAAAGCACACATCTTATGCACAAACATGTACACGCATGGCCGAGTTGGTTCCTGCAGCTGTTACAAACTCTCTGTTCAGCCCCTCTGAGATGTTGCTTTCCCCAGTTGAAAAAAAAAAAAAATCCCCTGAATGAAGGAGATTCATAGACATGTTTGTGTTTCCTCTTTAGCTGAGTTTGCATTAATCTTTCAAAGTCAAACTCTCTGGTTTTTCCCCCCTCCGGCCATCAGGGGACTACTTGTTTGTTTATGACTCTCTCTCTCCACCATCTTTACACAGAGCTCCTCAATGCCTGCATGTAAATGCTGACCAAAGCAGGAAAAGTTAATGACTTATTGACCACAGGGAAAACACATACACGGACACACACACACACACACATACACACACACACACACACACACAGACACACACAGATACAGTAAAAAAAACACTTCATACATCAAAATACACTATACATCAAGGTTTGTGACTTTCAACAAGTACCCTATGATTTTAACCTCTTTTACGATGAGGGCATTAAATGTTGGATCTCACCTTCTTTATCTCACAGGAACAGGAATCCTGTCTCCTCAGCCAGAGGAAAACCCTCACTGGTGGAACGCCAACATGGTGTAAGAACTCGTGTCTCTCAAAATATGATTTTAGTTATTAGACATCTTTTTGACATGTGGTGCTTTATAGGACTATTTCCACTGTATGAAGCTATGGTCTTTAGTGCGTTCATGATTGTGTTTACTTTCCACTATACACGCTTCAACATGCAAGTGATAATGTTTATATAATATGATGCTAGGTGACTCATTTAGCACACTGACGGGGACTTTTCTTTATAGAATTGACTTTTCACACTAAGCCTTTACTTCTCTGCATTTATTCAAGTTATTTATGTCAAGACTTTTTCTTTAATTGCTACTTCCAGTTACAATAAGTACATCTAAGACATAACTAGACACTTTTGCTTCCCTTGCCGTTATTGTTTTTGCCATTTATCATCTTTTTATACATAAAAAAAGACCACTAGTGCCCGACAACAGTCAGTCAGATCCTGTTCTGTTCCAGCAGCTACTTGTCATTGTTACATAATACACACCCATCACATCCTACAACAGCTCTCTGTCTTTGAACACACACACACACTTTGTTTGTGTTCAGTCTACCGTCACACAGCCAGGTTGGCTGTTATTTGTACAACTGTTGTATCTGTCAGCTGTCAGTGAACTGGCTCAAATGAAAGAGTTTCTCTCTTTCTATTGTAGCTTCATCCCGTACTGCTCCAGTGATGTGTGGAGCGGAGCCACTCCGAAGACAGATCACAGTAAGACACAATAAATCATCTGTGAGCTTGTAGATCTGCTCTCTAACGGCAGAGCAAACAGACCAGAGTTCAGTTTTCTGTGCCTTTGTTGTGTGGCAGCTTTTAGCTCTCATATCAACTTTACAGTTTTCAACTTCAGATGAATTATTACTTCCAAAATGCCATAGCTACAAACAAAGAACTAGTCGTTAATTGTCAAGTTGAGTATAATTCAATGTAATCGGTCAGGTGCCTTTTGGAGTATGGATAAATGAATGGGCCTTTTGCATTAAACCCTGTAAATTAAGCACATAATAAACCTTATTATCTTGCTCATCATCAGAAACATGTAAACATTCAGGCTCCCTCATGTGGCTAAAAGGTGTCCCGCAGATATAAATGTTAAATTAAAGACTACGTAAGAAATTGTGCTAATGTATTTGCCGACCCGATTCAAATCTCTGGATGACTGCTCTACCTGATGTCTGTTTAAATATACCCTCTACATTATTTTTAAATCTTTAAAGTGTAAGCTATCTTGCACTGTGTACAGCAGCTGTGTAACACAGATGTAGAGTTCATAGTCAGAGCGAGGAGTGTGTCATGTGGCTCTATGTCAATAATGAAAACACATATTTCTTCTCAGGTGATTATGCGTTTATGGGCTCTCTGATCATTAAGGAGGTGGTGAATGAGCTGCTGACAAAAGGTCTGGACAATGCTAAGGTTCTGCTTCTGGCAGGAAGCAGGTCAGTTCAGCACGTAATGTGTGGGTGTGTTGCCGTCTGTATGTGTGTGTGTGTTTCACCAAAGATAGCAGCTCACTTGCACCCTCTGATCTGACTCTTCCCGTCACCAGTGCGGGCGGCACAGGTGTCCTGCTGAACGTGGACCACGTTGCAGAGCAGCTGGAGTCGCAGGGCCAGCGAGGGGTGCGGGTCAGGGGCCTGGCTGACTCCGGATGGTTCCTGGACAACAGACAGTACAAACCCACAGACTGCCTGGACACCATCAGCTGTGCCCCCACTGAGGCCATAAAGAGAGGTATCAGGTAGGACAGGTGGCAGCAGGAAGAGGTGGCTAGATTGATGGAGGTTAAGAAGCTAAGGTTCAGAGGCCGTACAGATTTTGTAAAGCGGTGATACTTTGCAGGTACTGGGGCGGTTTGGTGCCAGAGAGCTGCAGACAGGCTCATGTGGGAGAGGAGTGGAAGTGTTTCTTTGGATATAAAGTCTTCCCCACGCTAAAAAGTGAGTGCTCCTCCACATGGCTGACGCAGATGCTAACGAGACAGGCGGCTGTGTCACTTGAAGTCTGACCTGCAGTGCGTCCTCTCCCCCGTCCAGGCCCGGTGTTCGTGGTGCAGTGGCTGTTTGACGAGGCCCAGCTGACGGTCGACAACATCCACCTGACCGGGCAGCCCGTCAACGAGGGCCAGTGGAGATACATACAGAACCTGGCACAGGAACTGAGGAGCACGCTACGCGACGTACCGTAAGAATGACACACACACACACACACACACACACACACACACACACACAGTAAAGTAACAGAAACCGTTTTGTTGACTGTGTGATTCTGTGTTTTGAATGGCAGGGCGATGTTTTCTCCGGCCTGTCTGTCGCATGTACTCATCACTAGAACGTAAGTAAATAAAACTTTCTAATACATCTTAAAGTTTCTCTCCATTAATAATTGTTTCAAATACTCTGCTTCTAACTAGACATTGTCAAAGAAATGTCTCGCGTTACCTTAGAAACAGTGTCATATTTTGTCCACCAGAGGGCAGAATGTAAAATGTCCCACTGAAAACATACATTGATAACAATTCCTAAAAGCGAATTGAAGGGCTCCATATCAAACTTCTTCATTATGTTTATGTAAACACAGTTAGTCTCAGAAACCATGGTGGGATACATCATCATATCGCACAATCATTGTGTTACATTATACATAATCCGATAATCATTTAAAGCCGTACACAAAGACTGTATGTAAGTATGCAGATTTCACATTGTAATAACATATATGACTCTCTTCACTGTGTCTTCACTGTGCAGCTACTGGATGGACATTCAGGTGAAAGGCACCTCTCTGCCCAGAGCCCTCCACTGCTGGGACCGAAGCCTCCAAGACAACAACCACACCAACGGCAGCAACCGCAACCACGAAAAGCACAAGACGCCACCCGTGAGGGGTTGCCCACTACATCTGATTGACAGCTGCCCGTGGCCTCACTGCAATCCCACCTGCCCGACTATTCGCGACCAGCTGACGGGACAGGAGATGAGCGCCATCCAGTTCCTAAAGCACATGGGCTTCGACGTGCAGAAGATGGCCCAGCAGCACGGGATGGACCCCAAGAAGCTACTGGGCATGCTCAATAACGGGAGCTGAGTTGCTTTTCTTTAAAGCGCAGAAATGTTAGCGTAGCGTCAGTGAGGAGTTGTGCAGAGAAAAGAAGACGCCGAACATAAATGGAAGACATCAGGAGCATGAAAACTTAACTCAAAAGAGAAAACTGGCAATACTTCCAAACGTCATCTTCCAGCAACGACAAACAAGACCCAACTTCTGAAAAACCAAACGACTCGAAAACTCACGAGTGCCTGAAAGGTTGAGTCAGATACAATCAAACCAGAACGGTTAAGCTGTTTAAACACAACATAAGGGATCACTTGTTTTAACACATAGATATAGATATGTTGTGTAGACATGCTAGTATTGCGAGGTGTACACAAACACAATGAAAGGTGGGTACAGTGTGTGTGTGTGTGTGTGTGTGTGTGTGTATACAGAGCATACCGTACTATATGCGAGTGCAGTTGAGACTGTCATGATGGAAGTCTCAAATAGTTTTGATGGGAAAGAACAAGATTGAAAACACCTCCCGGTTTGTTTTGTGGTGATCTGGTGCGGTCGACTCTCCACATTCACAGATCCATCGACGCTGCTGCTGTTTCTACCCTCATCCAAATATGCTGCTTTTTCTAATTTTTGGAAAAATAATAATTGAATGGGTAATATTTACTAATAAAACGGTACAAATATTAAGGTTATTACTTTGTTCTTCAGGGTACTTAAAAGTGAGAAAACTATTTTTCTACTGAGAATATCTAGTATGTTGTATCTTATAGTCAAATACAGTTAGCTGCTGTAACAGTGTCTCCATACCTTTTACTTTTGTATTTGCATGTTTACTTGATATATTATAACCATAAGTACTATTAATGCCAATAGTACAAACTGTATCCATATTATTTTCAGACTGTTGAAAAACGATTGTTGTTGTTGTTGTGCTGTAGTCGTGCCCACACTTTATACAAGGAGAACAAGTACGTGCTGATATGATAAAACATAATTTAATCACTATAGTATGACAATACAGTGGCAGCTGTCACCCTAAAGGAGAAACTCAGAAAACCGGGAAAATAAAATGGAAAAACAAGATTTCATTTTCAGTATTATCATACTCACATCCACAACATCCCAACGTTACCGAATGTACAACATGCATACCAATAAAATGATTTAAAACAAATTCAAAGCATTAAAAAAAACATTGTAGCATACATACAGTGTTTTGCACAAGAAATATTAAAAACTATTTGTTCACAGTTGATATGAAAGTGCTTTTTACGAGAGATGACTGAAATCCACGTGAACTGATTAACATCACTTTTTCTGTCCGTCTGTAACATTTGACTTCCTAAAGTTTGAGTTCCGGCCTTTCATCTATAAACAGGACTGTATAAAGCAGACAGCTTTGTGTCACCCGATGTCTTCACTTGGTTTGTTTTGCCAGTAAATTCGTAGCCAAATTTAAAATGAATAATACATTTGGATTTGGTGATATATAGTGTTGTCGTTCCTTTTTATTATTCCAGTTATAGCCAAGCTGGTTTGAGGTTTCTCCAGACATCAGTGCTCATAGAATTGAGCATCTTTATCAACTGGAGGATCTCAACATCGGGAGTCCTGAAGGAAAATTTAAAAAACAAAACGCCGGAGGTGAGAGGAGGCCAGGGTGTGAAGATTGTTTTAGTGAAGCACCAGAGCAGCAGAGACTGACCTGACTGGCGAGTCTTCGAGCAGGGGTTCGTTTCTGTTCGTGGATCGACTGGAGGCGAGTGATCAGAAACTTCTTATCCTCTCCCTCCTGCGCAGAGAGGTGACGAAGCAGACGTCAACCAGATTGATCAGTATATTGACAGATAGCGACACAGAGCTGTTTATATGTCGGTGATGTCTTACATTTTCTATCTGCTCCTGTAGTAATCCGATGATCTTTCTTTGCCCGTCCACCACCTGACTGTGGAAGTAGATGACAATCCTGACGGGAGGAAACGACAGAGTGCATCAGATCAATACAACCAGCACCGACTAGTTCAGCACTCATAATACTCAATAATAAAGCAGAATGATGGTGTACTGCTGCTTGCTTTATGACAGCTTGCTGTATCTACGTGTGTGTGTGTGTGTGTGTGTGTGTGTGTGTGTGTGTGTACTCACAGGAAGATGCCTGCTGCCACAAACAGAAAGAGAGGGTTTTCCACCAGGTAGGAGTGAGCCGTGGCCAGCCAGGACAGGTTGGGGTTATCTTTTTCCAGCGCTTGCACCCATCGCTTCCCCGCCTGGAACATCGTTTTGAGCTCACGGAACGGACCGCACGATGAGGAGGGAGTGAGGCTGAGGACAGATATTAAGACTGCCTGTGTCACACACGACTCTTCATTTATTTGATCTTTTTTTTTTTTACTCTGGCCATGGTTGACAAGTGTCCAATATATCACCACCACTCAGACAAAGACTAACGGCCGCGCTCCAAACAACCACGTCCTGAACCGGCTCTGCACTAATGTTCTGAATAGAATTAAAAGCATGCGTGTTTTAATTTCACCATGCACTCTAAATAAAAAGGCACATATATTGTGTGTAGAGTGGTGCCTCTTGTGGATGAAATGAGTATTACAACAACAAACAAAAATCCTTTTTATACCCGACTACACCTTTTTTCGGCTGTTCTTAAGTCGTAAACACAGAGGAGAAAACTATTTTGATCAGACTTTGATCATCACAAGAATGTTTTTCTCACTTATCTCGCTATCTAGACATCCGTAGACAGCAGTGTGTGTGCATACAGTGTGTGTTTATTAGTATTAAAGAAGGTGTCATGTAAGGTCATTTGTTTTCCAAACCCTAATAAGAAAATGATTATTTTTGGTTGGGATGGGTTAGCAGCACAAAATTGTGTGTGTGTACCTCCACATGGTGTACGTGACACACACAGAGGCACCGAGGAAGGAGGGGAAGCAGAGGAGAGTGATGAAGACGGTGGTCATCTGGCTGACTCTGTATGGCTTCCTGGGGGCCTGACAGTTCATCATCACACTGCTCTGTGGGGAGAGAAAAGAGAGACCAGAGTCCAGGGTCACCGCCTCCATCATCACAAATCTGACAAAGCTAGGGCTCCACGAAGAGATAAGGTTTCGATGTCAAACTACTGTGATCACAGACGAACGTTCATGGTCCAGACAAGAAGTCAAATGGCAAAATAAGATAGCATTTAGCAGACATCTGAAGCTGTCTAACAGGCAGGAAGTCTCTGGAGGCACACGGCCACAGATGATAATTTCAAGTATAACACTAAGAAATAACTGGGGAAATTAAAGGATTTATTGTTATTTTATTTTGAGTATTTCCTTTTAAGTACCTTTTTAATGTAGAACAGCAGCAGGAGTTTGAAAATCTGCACCGCGGGCAGGAGAGGAGTGAAGAGAACACCCAACCTGAAAAACACAAAGTTCATTGTCATTACACACAAACTACTTAACTTTACTGAACAAGACTGTGTGTGCGTCTCAACAGTGAGTTTGGTACCAGGCCAACGTCTGTCCGTAGATGAGCTCAAGGACGTTCCTGGCGATATCAAACACTGGCTTCCTCCTCCTCTTCAGCACCTTCTCAGAAAACAACCTGCAGACAACAGGAGGAAGTGAGTTTAGAGGCGCTCGTGTTTTAAGCGAGAATACATTTTAAAACTTAATGCAAAAAAGCAAATATAACCTCCAAAGAAACTCTCCAAACAAGGTGTCCAGTAGAGTGAAGATGAATTCCATGAGTAGGAAACGATAAAGCTCCTGGCCAACAAAACTCTCCCAGCACTGGAGACAATATTATCAAAACAGAGCACAGAGTCATCGATTAGAGAAATACCACACTGAGCAACTCAAATGATCAAGATAATCAATATTCCTGGACAAAATGATGTCCCATCTTTTGTTACCTTCAGTCCAATGCTTTTAGGATCAGTAGCCACCCGACCCAGCCAGTGGTAGCACAGGACTCCAAGCACGCTGACTTTCAACATCAAGTTTCTAGAGACGCAGACAAGCCCACGACATGTTACCATCGGCACGGCGCTTTCTTAAACTCGGACATCTGTGAACGCTCAAAATGCAGTTCCTCTGCTCTTACCTGCCGATGGCGACGTATGTGCGCACTGAAGGCGAGTCGTAGTCCTCCATCCAGGCTGCGAGGTTGAACAGGCCGGGCAGCAGCAGGTTGATGAGGGAGACCACCGCGGGGAGAGCCAGCAGGCTCAAGGGGTTCTGGGGGACACTACGTGAACTTTGCTGGAGGTTCTGTTGGGGAGAGAGAACGACCATGTGCTCTTTAATGTTACTGATGGCTTTTGATTGGATGACAGTCTGACAGAAACTAAGTACGGTCGCTAGGAAGGGACGTCCTGTATAATGGCTGCTTTAAGAAACATAAAGACCAAAGACTGCGTAATAAAGGACAACAAACAGCCTGAAGTCTGAGTATTCACCAATAAAAATGTTGACTTTGGACCCTGAAACCACCCCGCCTCACCTGATGCATGTGACCAGAGAAGTAGTAAACAGCGAGCACACAGGCAGTGGTGCTTGCTATACAGATGGCCCACGCCAGGCCATGAACCATCGCTCTCCACAGATTCTGGCCCACAGTTTTCTTGACGTCCTTATGATTCACCTCCGCTAGCAGCTCCTGGAGAGGAGGACACGGGGAGAGGGACAGGGCAGGGATTATGGGATGGAACCAGAATCATCGCATTCCTACCGGCCAATTATGTGACAAAGAAAGAGACAAAGAGAGGGATGATGTGTTTTTGTGCGTGTGTGCTGTCATGCACCTTGAGCTGGGTGCAGATGTTCTCAGACATGAGTTTGACAGATGTTTTCTTAATGACCTTGAAGTCCCAGGAGCAGAGGACCTTCATGGCCAAAATGCTGTGAGAGGTGTCGATTCGGAAGCTCTGACCGAACGACTTCGACATGCTGTTGGGAAATTGCACAACAGCATGCTTCCTGAGATATGATTATTACATTTAATGTTAGTACAGTTTGTGTTAAAACGTACAACAACCCTGTACCTGTACACAAGAATGATACACGTGATGAAGGAAGACACTCCTATGGTGAAAAAGTATGCCAGCGGCATGTTGTAAGAGAGTCCACAGTCCACCCTGGTTCCATTGGACGAAGAGACGTTGTGCCCTCCATCATCATCCTTGCAGCTCCTACTCAGTGTGTAGTTACAGTAGTACCCATAGTACATCACTGTGTCGGAGAAGTAGCCCTGAGACAAAAGGAGAATATGAATATTGACCTTATTAGTATAGTTTCAGACTTAAAAGATCCCCTACAGACACGTTTAAAGACCTAAACAATACTATTTAAATGTATGAATAAGCACATGTTTTTTGTTGGACTCGAGATGTCTCCTACTTTTTCCTCTTCACTCTCGTGTGAGTTGCATATTGAATCATAATTGTTATTCTAACTTGTGATGTTACAAAATGACTCGTCTTAAACTGAGGTGTAAGGGGAGCACAGAGGAACTCCCCCCCTCAGCAGATACATGCGGAAACATTCTTCTGGTGTTACATTCAGTACTGTGAGGCTCAAACATATGCAAGTGAGGTAACCTTTTCAGTGGATGGGGACTTTGATTCCATCTTTTTAAAGGCGGCTTTGTTGTTGTAAACTCATCATACAGGCCTAAAGCATCAGGACACATCAAGGATGTGGTCGGTGTTTCTTTCGAAAACTGAGGCCTCGCAGCGTGCGAGTGTTACAGGTGTTGCAATAACATGTCGCAACAGCACACGGCTCACCGCTCCGGTGAGGAGCTCCAGTCCAGAGAAGGAGCGTCTCCACGCCTCGGGCAGCACCGGAGGGTGCACCGCCTGAGGCAGCACCATGAAGGCACCCGTCACCAGGAACAAGAAGAAGTTGAAGAAGAGTAGGGTCTTAAGGAACAGGAAGTACGAGAGGACGCCAGTGCCGAAGCGCCCGCTCACTCTCTTCAGCGCCACTTGCCACAGCTGCAGGGAGTGCAGGAAGGACAGCCAGCTGTACCAACTCTGTCTGGCACCCTGGGAGCAGAAAGTGTGGGAGAAATCACTGTAATCTCGAAAACAACAACCACTTATTCTCTACAGGACAGTATGCATTATTATTTTAGACAGAAACTTATCCATGTTCTACAAAAAGTGACTCACAATGCAGCAGTACAATCCGGGCAAAATGCACACACACGTTTGTGGTTTAGAGTCTGAAATCTGACTCACATCCTCAGAGCCATACATGCTTGAGCAACAGAGCGATTACACCGCCTAGATAACAACACCTGCAGGAAATACTGACACCCAAACACAAGCAAAGAGAAAGAGAAATGTCTTGCGCTGTCCTACGTCTTATTATTCTGTGTGCCACTTATCATTTGAGAGAATTGATATTAGTTTACACGTCTTTAAGAACTCAAAGTGTGCATAAACGGGCTGTAACTCAAGGAAGAGTTGCGTAATATTTAGTAGTGTACTTTCCACCTTGAAACATGAAAACATGAACGTCTACAAACTTCATCTGCCGATGAAGATCGTACAATCAGATCCAAAACTATAGCTAAATGGACGTTGATTCACAAAGGGCTCATTAGAAACATAAACTGGTAGAGTATCTAGAAACCCTGTGAGAGGTAGAAGGACTCGGTGTCCACGTATGAGAAAATAAAAAGGCAGTCGAGCATGGAGAGGTGTTTCTGGTGGTGTGAGTGACTTACAATGATTATGTAATATTTGAGTTGACTGCAACAGGGGATTTGACTGCCAGTAATTGTCCTTTTCTCCTTTTGTAAAGCTAACCTCCTGAAGACAGAGAGACAGAGACAGAGAGACAGAGAGACAGAGAGTCAGACTGAGACATGAAAAACACAGTGAAACAAACAGGACTAATGAGAACAAGGACCACATCTACCTGAGTTCACTCTTCTCAGCCACACTGAGAGGCATCGCTCTGAGCATCCCGACTCTGTCGCTCACCGACAGGTTCTGCAGGTTGTTCACCAAACGTTCCTTCTTACTCGCTGTAACACACACACACACACACACAGGGGCAGCGTTGATTACATTATAAACTCATCAAACACGGATGAGTTCTTGTTTGAAGTGTCTCATCACGTCGTTCTCCTCACCCTCGGCGCCCTCTGCGTCCGTGCTGTCCGCCTCCATGCCGTAGCCTCGTATGCTCGGCCTGGCAGAGCGAGAGAAGTCCCGGATGGCGGGTCTGCTCTGCCTGCGTCTCCGGAGCTGCATGGTCCTGTTGTAGTACTGAGAGATGATGGCTCCCCGGCTGCGACCTGACAAGAGGAGGAGGACCGGACTGTTCAGAGATGGGATCAACAATGAATTCTACAACTTCTTGATGTTTCAATAACAACAAACTCAAGATGTGTCGTCTTTATCTCTAGTTTTGAATTAAATAACTCGTGACAAAAAAAAAGCAACATGGTTTGGATTCAAACCATGACAAGTTTAAATGAAAAGCGTCTTAACCCCTAAGCAACAGGGGCGCCCCGGGTCTAATTAACTGTTCTGTGGCACTTGCCAGTCAAACTTTAGGTAAATAAATGTTTGAAATACACATTAAAAACAAGAAAACCACAGCGGTATCGTAATCTACAGTCAATATGAAAGAATCAATGAAACATGCACAACAAACTGATTTTACAAGAGTATAAAATGTTGATTTAAAAGACTTCATGTTTGCAGTTTGACGGTTAAACCAACAAAAAGATGATGTGGCCCAGCTGAAGAAATCAGATAACCATTGAGTCATCTCCAACAACAAGCTGAGGCACCTGACCTGCCAGACGCTGACAGGAAGACGACAGACAAACAGCTTCCCCACGAAACTCTGCTCAACTGAAACAGTCTGTTTGTATTATTCACACTGGAGCTCAACACGGGCAGCATCCACAGGCTCCACTGGACTAACCCACGCTAACACACTACCTTACCTCTGTGGGTTACATATAGTAGTAGACGAACATTCAACAGGAGCGTCTGTCAATGTGCGTACAGTGTTTCCTGTGAGGTGAAACTTTTTCAGGAACTATAATAAACAGTCTTGTTCTCAGCGGTGGTGGAAGATTGCTCCACCTTAAGACATATATGGTATTAAATATTACAATAACAAACACTGCTGCAGTCTATACCATTAGGCTGTGTCACTGCTGTGTTTCTGTAAAAACTACATCATTTATCAAATTATTTTGTTTCTCTGGCCTTCTGAAGGACTCACCGATTGTGCGACTGGGCATGGAGGACAGGATCCTCATGGTGTCTGAGGACCAACGTTCACCCAGGAGGGGGTCTCCCTGTCTTTCCTCATCCTCCAGGTAGGCTACATTGTCTGTGGAATTAGAAGAGAAAGAAAAACAACACATTGCTACAGCTGGGAATGACAGAGAAAGTTTTTAACCTTAATATCTATAATGTGAGGATGTGGTGGACACAAGATGTTTTGATGTCGTACGGTCTAAATGTAATTTTTCTCCTTTAGCCTCAGGTACACTGGACCATTGTTTATGACAGGAAAAGAAGACACTTCCAACAATTCCTGGTGGCAGCAACATTTAACGCGACGTACCCTTCGGCCAACAATAACAATCTGTTTAATTGTGCATTGTGGATGAATTTAAACATTTTTCCGAGAAGGTGCGATTCTATTTTGGACTTACTCGAATGGTACAGCATCAAGTTTGTCGCTGTACTCTTTTTCAATGTGTTAAATAAAGTTACTCAAATACAAAAACATCTGTCAGTGCCGAGTGTAAGTGCACTCTGATTCTCTGAGCACCACGGTTGTCTTTTCTTAAGACTTGTGAATTCTCCTTCATTTCTTGCCTTGACCTCGTGACGTTTTCCCACTGAGGTCGAGGAGAAGTGGTTAGGAAAGGACACAGGGCGTACCTCGATCCTCCTCGTCCAGTCGCCTCTGCAGCTGCTGCAGCTCGAAGGCGTCAGACGGTCCTTCGTTCTGACTCTGCTCTTCGATCAGCTGGCTGAACGAGTCGTGAACGCCTTCCTCGTCTACTGGGCTCCTGACAGAGGACGACACGGGCTCAGACATACAGGTTCGGTTCAAAGAGCCTGTGCTTTGAGGACTGTTGGTCACTTAGTACACCACAGATAAAACACGGTGACCTTGTGACTCAGTCACCGGTCGTCTCATGGGGGGGGGATCTACAACCAAACAGCCCAGAAAGACTCTCTGAAGTCATTTTCATTCATTTGTGGGCAGCAAAGCACAGATTGCGTTCTGTGTGACCCTCTTCCTGCGCTATCTAGATGTCCTGTCAAAGCAAACTGGACTGACTGTTTTTGTCTTAAAGCAAGAGGGAAAAAACCCACAAGAAAATACAGCAAGTCCAGTTTTCTGTTGACTTAGTGCTTTTACACAGATAGCACAAGAAGCCTGTATGCCTGGACTGTTTTCAAATGGAAGCGCTCGCTCTCGCAGAGATAAGCAAACACAGCACATTCAAACAAGGTTCAACCAAACAAACAGGAGTGATTTTATGAAGACGATGAAGTGGAGGTTTGTAGTTGGTCACATGGTTTAAGATGAAAGCCCTGAGACCAGGCGCGTCGTCATCCGCCTTCCCGTTTAGTGTCTAACAAGACATCAGAGAGCACAGCTAATCCCGTCGTCTCGGTTCATTTTCCTCACAGCCTTCAATTTAAATAGCGGCAGATTGAAACAGCAAAGCAAACACCGACAAAGAGAAAGACAACGGGAGGAACGCAAAGAGATAAGAGGACTGCTTGAACACTTACTCCAGTCCAGCTTCCATGAGCGGGTGGTTCAGGTCAAAGTTAACATTTTGAGCCATTTCTTCTTCTCCTCTTAAAGTCTTGATCTGCGTGCGGCTGTCGGCCTCCTCGTCGACCAATGGCAGAGGGATCACACCCTCTCCTGTTCAGACCCGCGCTCCACTCCCACCATGGTGTTTATTCGGCTACCTGAGAGAGAAGAGGAGCGGGGTGGGGGAGGCGGGGCGATGGGAAGCGAGTGAATTACAGGTGAGGGGGAAATGCCAACAGACCTTGGAATTTGAATGCTCTCGTCATGTCACTGCTTGTCTTGCGCACATTTGTAACTGTGTAGTGAGGAAACAAGACGTGAGTGTATGACCACGAACTATACGCCTAAAGGTGTCGTTTACACTTTTCATTAATATCTGATCTGTATCTGGATGAGGATTAAAGTATAAATGGGGTCTCACGGACTACAATTACCTGAGGCCACATGAACAAGAACAACTTGTTAAAATCTCATGCATCCATGTTTGCACGCTTTCAGCGTGAGGTGACAGTGACTCATGGAGTTGAGAGATTAGGTCGTGAGAGCTCCATTGTGGTTTATGATGAGGAATGTGGGCCGAGTCAGACAGCACCGTGTCACCAGCGAGACAGAATGATGCATTGTGTGCGAGTGTCATATGAGAGGTTTGAAGGAAGCACGCTGGTTCCTCTGTCTTTGTGCAGATTTAAAAAGGCCCCCACTTCCCCCCATCCAAAATCTGTTCTCAGTTACGCGCAACAATCTCATCAACATTGGTCAAAGACCCAGAGAGGACACGTCCTGTTGTTTTACAACATGATCACAGAAGATATTATACACATGGGATTTAAAGAAGTTGGATCCAGATATGCATTGTAGACTCTTCAAACCTTTTCTGACAGATTTACTTTCCAAGCCTGCCTTTGATAAAGCAAAGCAAACGCAATCAAAACCTCTAAATTCTTCTTAGCGATGGCTTTAAAAAAACCTGCTCTGATAATATACCCACATACCTCACAGTTAAGAGGAAGTTGATGGACTATACCTGGAGAGACAAACTTCCTGCCCGTCAGAGACTTGTGGCGGTTCACTCTTTGATATCTTTGGATTCATGAGGTCATTGTGACGCAAATCAATGAATATGTCCTTTTACGGAAATAATGGAATTTTGCATTAATATGCCAACATAGATTGATTATTTTCAGGTATTTAAGTCACAGCCATTCATCCTTAATTATTGTATCCATATTCAATTCATCAATTGATTTTAAAGAAAATAAAACTACGTGAGTCACTGTCGTTTCCTACTTAGCTTGTAACAAACCATTTACCACTTCATCGGTTTGGAATTGATTTACGATAACTAATTATTCGGAGAGACAATAAAAGACGATATTTAGTTATGACCGAGCAGCCCTGTGTGAAAGAATAGCCTTGACGTACATCTGGATGTCTATGGGAACGGGTCGCAGCTTTGTTTCCAAAGATGACTATCTGGGCCAACTATAAAATTCAGTTCAAAGTTCACTGACAATAAGCACTCGAAGTTGCATTAACGGCAGATCGACTTCCTGTTTACATGCACCCACAGCACAAAAAGAAGTTCATAGTGAGGTGCTATTTTCCTGTGAAAGGATCTCAGGGTTGAGTCTTTGCTCTGCGGTACAACATTGTATCACAGAGTTGGTACTTGCTTCCACAGACATCCAGTAATTAAGATAAACTAGGCGAAGCTGGCCATTCAACAAACCTCCAAACTGCACACAGACATGGGAAACATCAAAGAGTTTGTCTCATTCTGGGAAAGTCACAACAGCAAAGCTCACTATTGCTTAACCGTTAGAGAGCTTGGAGGTTGAGTTCCCAGTAAGCTGCTCCGACATCGACTCACACTCACTGCAAAGACTTAGAGATTCAAACCTCCACCACAGCACAAGCAGTTGGTTGTGTTTGTTCGATGTGTAATAATGTGTAATGGCTGATAACAACACAGGGTGTGTGAATATCTCAATCATGATGAGACCCGGACTTTTGCTCCGGGGTGGAGGTCTTTCTGGTTCTGGTCTGGAGTGAATATGATATCAGCTGCAGCTCTGAATACGTGACCGAACGCCTGAAAAATGTCCCTCTACCACCGGCAACGGTAATCCTGCTTTTGTGCCCGTTCTATTCAGGCAACCTACTGATCTACTGCACACATCTGCTGGTTTTGTTTTGCTTCTCTCTCACACATACGTTTTTCATTACCTGATGTTTCCAGGATCATGTTACACTTTTCTTAACAGTCCATTTTCTATTCCATATATTTGTTGTAGGCCCTTACACACCACTGTGTTGCTGGGGTGTCATCCTCTAGCACTGTCAAGACTGGCTGTGACTCTTTGTGACTTAAATGTCTGTATGTGTGAATATTGGTATTGAAGAAGTGCTCTGAGACTGTAGAGCCAGGACAGGATATATTAAGAGGGTGGGACAAACACTCAACCCGCCCTGACAGGGGGGGTCAGAGCTGAGCTGCACCATTGCCAAATAAAATAAGACGGGAAAAGTATGGGGAATAACAGAACACAGATGGGTGATTCAATGTGAGTTTAAGTTGGGTTACAAGTCAATTAGAGAACATTGTTCCATTAAAAAATAAGGAAATAAGTAGTGTGAAACGCACATAAGTGCACTCGAGAGCAGTATAATCTGGACACAAGGAAGGCATCGCATACATTTATAGACCAGTGCAGAAAACAGAGGAGGTATGAGCTGATGCGAGGGTGAGGCAGAGAGTGAAGGGAGGGGTAAGAAGGAATCTGTCCACTCTGACAGCTTTCAACAACTGCATGGAAATCAGTTCCCAGAGTGCTGTGGGGGGGGGGGGGGGGCAATAGAGGAAGCACAAAGCTCCAGCAAACATTGCAGTAGATATACTTGTATTTCAACAGTTATCTGTTAGTTATCACGGTTTGCCTCAAGAACAAGGGGGTTACATTGAATAAGCAGAGCTGCAATTCGGTGTTTTAGTACAAATCAATACTCACTTGTGTTTATGGGGGAATGCGGATTTAAAAAGGGAAAAACACAAGAAGAGCAAAGGAGGCAGAGAATAGTAACAGCGGAGATTAGGGCAGACAAAAGAAAAAATGTGCATGCAATTAAGTCAGGCATGCATGTACATACACAATTACACTGTTATTGCGCTGTGAGGCCGTAGCGCTGCACGTCTCTCTGCCTTCATTCAGAATAAGGACAGTGATCGGTTCAATGTCGGCTACAGGACAGAGACGGTAAACCCCGGTGGATAAACACACAGATGTGGCAATCAATGTTCATATTCCCAAAGTTTATGACATGAATAAAGTCCAAGAGATCTTCCACAACAAAGCACCCTGCCGTTGCACAACAGACGACAATTCATTCACCCGAGATTGTGAATAATTAATTAGTTCTGCAGACAAACTCACGAGTAGCTCGTTCCTTTAAAAACACGGACTTCTCTTGTGCTGCTGTCTGTTGTCATTTAATGTTAGTTTAGATGTTAACGGCAGGCTGCGAGCTATACTCAACACGTCAATGAGTTTCATTAGGTGGACAAATGTTTTACCTTCGAGGAGACAACGAGGCTGTGGTTTTAGGAATCCAGAGGTAGCGACATGAAGCGACCAGCTTATAAAACTTGCACAAAGACTCGTTCACAGAGTTGTTCACTCACCCGTTCAGTAACTTGACAAACCAGTTGAGTGTGTGTGTGTGTGTGTGTGGGTGTGCGTGTGTGTGTGCTCGCCAGTATGTCAGTCAAAATGCGCTCGGCCGGACAGCGCGGGAGAAACCATTTTCTCCGAGGGGTGTTGGGTTTCTACTTCTTCAAACGAAACCATACAAAGTGAGAGCTGAACCTTCAGTCACCTATACACATTCACAATACCAACTTACACGTGTTCTCCAAAACACCAATGATCTGAACTGATTCACCAGCTTCTGATAAAGAAGTGAGGTAACTTTGACCCCCCCCCCAGGGTTGACACTCTTGGTTCAGTCCTATTCAGGCTTGAAATCATGCCCCTACCGGTGTTTGACTACTCAAACAGAACACAAAGAGAGTCTAACTCATCGAGACAGTTAGTGTTAAATACATTTAACATATCAGTAGTTACATGACCTACAAATAGTGAGTCTACGCTGAAACTTAATAAAAACTTAACTGGAAGTAAAGTCGTTACATAACACACCTGATTAAGATAGATTCAATTCAAGTTATTTTGTATAGCCCAAAATTAAAAATCACAAATTTGCCTCAGAGGCCTTTACAATCTGTGCACATCCTCAGTCCCGGGACCCTCACATGGGAACAAAAACAACAACATTGAGTAGCCTGTGTGAGGTCGAATGTGTGACCTGCCACATCTCACAAATACATTTTACTTCCCGTTCAATAAAAGGCCACAAATGAACTGCTCCATCATCTCATACATTAAATCCAAACGTCGGTTTCCAGATGATGAAACGCTGTCCAGTGTGGTTCGTGTCAACTCTTTATCGTCAAGCACACGAGAGGGATTCAGTGAAAAAGGCAGATGATTAATCACCTGATTCTTTGACTTAGTTGGTTTTACACACCTGATGACCACCTAATGACGGCAAATAACATTCAATACTCAAATTCCCGGATTGTTTTGAAACCCGATGTTTATTTAACATTGTTTCTCAGTGGATTTCACAGAAAAAGTTACCTGAAAACAGATTATGGATGCACTATAAATCATTCGACCGTAGGCTACTTGAACAGTAGTAAATTAAAATGAAATTAAAACCTATTCATCTAATTCTGGCTTCTAACATTTTGTTTTAAGTCCGGTGTGTGTACGGCTGGGTAGTTCTTGTTCTGTTGTGAAATTATTTGTGATATTTTCAGCCACCAATACAACGCCTGTGTTTGCATCCTGTCATGTGATTTCCTGTGAAGCTGTCAAATTCAGACGCGGTCTGTGTGGAGCAGATCTGACATCTGCTCCACCTGCCTGAGAGTGAGGCGTACCAACAGGACTTTAGGGACAACACTCACTCCAGGCCTGCCGCTCATGGGTCTTCACTTCAGTGGGCCTTGATGTGGGGTGCAAAGCAGGCTGTTTAGATGCAGAGTGCGGAAGTAACTTTTTTTCAGTTTGAGTTGCAGCTTTGGTGGAGAAGTTTGTCGCCTTGTGTTGTATATACTGCCAGAAGATTGGTTTCTGAAGATCTGTTATAGAAGAGGAAGTGCAGGGAGAATAAAATGGAGGAGCACAATTCTGTCAACTTCATGAGACTCCTGTCAGGTAACAGAATCATTTTACAAAAATGTGCCTTTTGTGTGTGTGTGTGTGTGTGTGTGTGTGTGTCGATGTGTACGTGTTACGTGTGTGTGTGTGTGTGTGTGTGTGTGTGTGTGTGACATTAACATGTTACATGATCTATGAATTTAAATAGCTTACAAGACACTGCTGATATTACATATAGCATGCAAATGGTTATGGTTCTGTCTCGGGATGTTTAAAGACATTGTGGAAAGTGTAAGTAAAAACTAAACAGATAAAATACAGGTGTTGGTAATTTAATGATTGTTTTTTAAGCATAGATGTCAAACATTTCCTGGTTCCGACTTTTCAAACGTAAATATTTCTCTGTTTTATATAAGATAAGATAAGATATACTGTATTGGAATTTTGTCTTGAGCTCCAAGCCGCTGCATCCCACAATACACTTGCTAGCATCACAATCCACATGCATGCATAGAACACACATACACTCATGCATAAACATGCTTAATTACACATGTCAACATTAGTTACACATAATAAAAATAATAAAACCAGGTGTGATCAACACAGACAATAAATAATCAAGTTACAATACATTAGTCCCTAATAAAATCATATCATACCATTGTAAATTAAATATTGTGGGGTTTTGCACTGTGGATCAGACTAAACAAGACATTTCAGGATGTGACCGTGGGCCTTTTTCACTACTTTCTCACCTAAATTAAGAGACAATATGCAGATCCATAATAAAAGTGAGCGTTACTATGGTTGCAACCTGTAACAAATGCTGAGCTAAGTAAAACATCGTGTACGTAAACATGCACTGTGATCTACATTCATGTGTTCCCACCACAGAGGAGAGCACTCTTTCCACCATGTCGGCGGACTCCTGCGAGTACTATCAGACAGAGATATTTGATCAGCTGCCCAGCATCCAGGCCAGCCGGCCAGAGCAGGACAGACAGGGTCTCTGGGAAGCCTGCGAGGCCCACCAGGGTGGCCCAGACGCGGGGGAGAGGATCAGCCATGGCCACCTGTCCAGAGGACCCAAAGACAAGGCATTTACACAGCCGCTCAGGAGCCTGGTCATGTGTCTTCAGGGGAAGAGAGACGCCAGGTGGGAGAGGTTATTCTGATATGTCTCTGTTTAGGACGGCCACAGCAGAGGAAACAAATTACTTTTTGTACACATTTTTTCCTGCTAGTTGGATTTTGGGTGGCGTCATTACAGACCTGGGTTGCCTTTTTGGCTTCGGACCGGTTGTATATATATCGCTTCTGGAGTTGCAATTGTTTATGTCCAATGATCTGGCTGGCCTGACTCAGCTTGTTCCTGTGTCTCACAAAGCTTAAGCTCAGGTTCCTGTACCAGCAGACGATGTCACAGGTGAGAACACTCTCAGCGAGTGACCTGAAGTTTAGTTTAAATATACAAATATACAAACATAACAGAGATAAATGAATCAGTGCAGGAAGAGGCAAAAAGCCAACTGGGCTTATTTGAAGCCTCCACCTATATAATATTAAAATTTTACAAATTTACAAACAGCATAAAATGAAATATGCATAAGATATAACATTACAAACAACAACAACAACAACAACAACAACAAAAAGTCACACCGGAAAAATAACCCTGGGGATGACATCACTATGAAGTCATCAGTGTAACTTTTGAAAGCTCCTCCAGAGCCTCAGAAAACAATATACTACTGTCCCTTTAAATATGTTCAAATGTTAGTCAGGAAGAGTTTGTTCACCTCCTTTTCAAAAGTTCAATATTCAACTTTAAAATGTTTAAAGTTTTGTGTTATTTTAGATATTTTCATGCTTAGGATCTAACATGTTAAAATAAAAGCGGCATTGATGAAATATCATATTTACTCTGCTCATTAGGTACAGGAGGAAGATGCAAATCAGCAATATTGGTTTTTGGGAGTCCTGGAGGCGGAGCCAGAGCATCAACAGAAAGAGGGTTTGGGCACAAATGGGAGGAGCTCTATCAGGCCTTTTGCCATGGCAGCACACTCTCCACACCATCGAAGGTGAGACAGGACCGGTGATGATGAGGATTATAAGGACTCGTTTCCAGTCTATTGTATCACCACGACTAGATGATTTCACCCAAACATAATCTAACCCTCACTGATCTGTTCCAGGCAGGTTTGGAGTTGGCGTGAAGGCTTACTTTGTGTTCCTCAGATATCTGGTTTACTTAAACCTACTTCACTGTGCCCTCGTCTGGGGCTTCATTCTGGGGCCGACAACATTTTATGGCAGGAGCAACAGCAGTGGTGAGTCCCCTGTAAAGGCAGATTAAAGTACATCAACCACAACTCAACGCAGACTACTGCAAAAACACTGTTGTGTTGTTCTCTGTGATGTTACAGAGCCGTTGAAGTTTGGTGGCAATGACTCGGTTTTGGATTTCTTCCAGGGATCGGTAAGGGTTTGTTTGCTTGTGTGTTTGTACTGTACGTTTTATACATCTTTCATATAATATATCTTTCTACAGGGCTACCTGGATCGTTCTCCGGTCTTCTTTGGTTTCTATACTCGTGGTTCCCTGAATTTGCTGTGCTTGAATACACCTCTGCTGTACCTCGCTGGAATGCTCATCATCCTCTTCCTCAGTCTCATCCTGGTGGTCCGTAGGTCAGTTAGGAAAGTAACTGCAAAAGAACAAAACGTTTCGATATCCATCTTCCTCACATCTGAGAGAAAGCTTCTGTATTAAATCTGTAAACTTCTCCGATAGAACGACGGTTGGGTACAAGCACACCTGGATGCTCGGGAAGCGTTACAGTATGAACGTGAGCTACAAGATCTTTTGTGGTTGGGACTTCACCATCCAGGACCCTGCTGCTGCCACTCTCAAACACTGCTTCATCAGAAACGATCTCAAGGTGAAGGGATGCACACGCATTATCGGCATGCATGATGGCACTGCTCTAGTTTACCACGGTCACACACCACATGCTGGTCAAACGGTGAATCTGTCAAACCCATTGCCCACTTTGGCTGTTTTCCGTACACTGCATATACGTAATGTTGGGTCTGACAGGCCGGTCCATGGTGTTCAATTGAGATGTCCTGCCTCAACCTATCATGATCAAACTATTCAGTGACCCTTCATGCTCTGCAAGGAGGCATCTGCATGTTTTCTCCACTCACCTATTCAGGTTTTTCCTTAAATTTGTCACCTGTCTTTTAATTCTCTTATTTAGAATCAAACCTGGAATTTCATGAACAAAGTAACATTTTGCAATTCCACAACTTTATTTACAGCAAACTAAACCATAAAAATGAGTGACCAAACAGTTTCCCACCTGGCTTTCAAAACAGATGTATTCACACACACACACACACACACACACACACACACACACACACACACACACACACACACTCCTGACTATGCAGACACAAGGTGGTAAATGTCAGTGAAAAGTGGTGTGACATGCATCAACATTGAGGCAGATGAGGAAGTTGTGATTAGAAATGAGTGGTTGAAAGTTTCAAACCTCTTTTTAGAACCAGTTCAAAAGTGAAATATGAATATACAAAACTCAGTGTAAGGTGAAACAAATACACTGCTCTTATCATCAAGCATTTTCTCTGCACTTCTGCCATTAAGGAAATGGTTACACACTCCCCCAACGCATGTCCTTTCTGTATATATATATATATATATATATATATATATATGTAGAAAGGACATATATATACATATATATATACATATATATATGTATATATATATAGTATTGATTCTAGTTTTAGTGTGTGCCTGCTGCTGTTCTAATATTTTGATTGAGTTAAAACACCGGAGATGCTCACAGTTGAGAGGTTTCCCTCTTTCTGTTCGTCCTCAGCTGTTCCTGGAGGAGGAGAGTTTCTCTGTGCGGGAGGCTCAGAGGACTCTTGGACAGAGGGTGCGTCTTTATCTGCTCAGGTTTGTCCTCAACCTGCTTGTTCTGTCCCTGCTGGGTGGAGCCTTCTACCTCATCTACTTCGCCACCAAAACAGCACAGTACGAGGTGAGACTTTGATGCTGGTTTTGTTAGTGTGTCCTGGATTTGGTGAATAGATTTTCACACCTGACTGTGTTTTTCAGAGTGGGCACTATTGGCTGGTCAGCCTGGTCCTCCAGTACCTCCCTCCCATCACCATCACCTTTGTCAACCTGCTCCTCCCTAACATGTTCCGCAAGATCTCATCTTTTGAGGACTACTCTTTCACCATGCAGGTCAATGCTACTCTAGTGAGGTAAGGTGCACAGGGAGATGAACCCAGGACAGACACATACACACACATCTGCACTGGTTCACCCTCTTTTCTTCAGGAGCATCTTCTTGAAGCTGGCCTCGCTGGGGATCTACCTATTTTTCGTCCTCACAACAGAGCATCAGCAAGTGAGTTGAGAGTGAGATTTATGTTTCAAGGTCCTGCGGACTGATATGTGGTGTCAGATCGATGTTTTTCTAAGTGAGTTCTCAATCCATTTTGATTTCTTTTACAGTATCCCTTTCACTGCAGGGAGAACATGTTTGGTCGAGAGATGTACAAGCTGTGTATCTTCAACTTCCTCGCCACCTTCTGCAACGTCTTTCTCTTGAACTACCCCAGGAAGTGGGTTTGTTTGAGATCAACAGTCTCTTTCTCTCTGAGTCATCGTTGTGGTTTGAATGGAAAGATCGATGCGTTTGGAATAGTTTGGCTGATCTAGGGAAAGAATGAAGCTCAGTTAGTATGTTGTCAAGATTCATGAACTTTCCTCTGACTGACAGGCTGCTGCAGGAGAAGTACCCGTCATCCTTGCTGGCCCGGCTGTTGGGGAAACAGCGCTTCCTGATCTCTTTCAAAGTGTTGGATCTGGTGTACAGTCAGACAGTGTCCTGGGTGGGAGTCTACTACTGCCCTCTACTGCCTCTGATAGGAGCTGTCACGCTGATGGCCACCTTCTACATCCAAAAGGTTGTCTGGGACGTGAGAGTTATGGACCATCTAACTGTCACTCTCGCTCCCTCTTTGTGTCTCTTAAATCCAGTTAAGCATCTTGTACTGGCACGAATGTCACAAGATGCCTGAGAACAATGACCAAAAAACACAACAATAAAATAAATATTAATACTAATAGTTTGCCACATAAGGTTGATTGGACAATTTGGTTTTCATACAAATTAAACAAACAAGAAAGAACATGTGAGCTGTAGAGGTGACAGAGCCAGGCTAGCTGTTTCCCCCTGTGTCCAGTCTTTATGCTAAGCTAAGCTAAACGTCTCCTGGCTCGAGCTTCATATCTAACGTGTGAGTGGTATCTAAGCAAGGTTCCCATTGTCGAACTATTCCTTCAAGTAATCTATACATTTGTCACATTCTAGAGATTTGAGTCTATTTGAGTATTTTTTACCAGTTTACCATGGTGCATGATTAGATGGAGTTGTGAAGCACTGGTGACCGTCAACTGTATGTGAACATTTACCAGCAATGTCCACGTCCTTCCCTCTAACACTGTCTTCAGTTCACGGTCCTGCGGTGCTGTGTGGCAGAGCAGAGGATGTTCCGAGGCTCCAGCTCCTCTGTTTTATTCCACTTCATGTTGCTGCTCGGCCTCCTAATGGCTGCAACCACACTGGGCTTCAACCTCTACCAGCTAGAAGCCACACCCGACCAAAACATGTACTTTTTTACTTTTTTTAAAATTTGACTTTCTTGCTGACATAACATGACGTGTTTTGAATGCACCCTCTTTATTTCTTTAGTTGATTATATTATGTCAAAGAAAAACATGTTAGCACTAGAAGGAAATATCCCATTTATATTTTTACTTTTCTCTGCAGCTCATTTGCCCAATTTCTTCCTCCTGTTTCTACCCAGGTCCTCCTGTGGTCCATTTGGAAATGGAGAATCTGTGTTTAACGTGACAGGAGTGTGTGTGAACAGCCTCCCAAGCCCGGCACAGACCACGCTCCGCTACCTGACCTCTGAAGCCTTCGCCCTGCCGCTCATACTCGCTGAGGTGTAAGTATGCAACAGGTTTATACAAACACTGGCTCTGTATTTGCAGTGAGATGAGTTTTTCCAGTTTGAAGGAAAACAAGTAAAATCTACAATGAAAAAGGGGAACGAGAAGCACTGAGTGCACAGCAGCAAACACGTTATGTAGAAGTGATGATCTTCAATAGATACAAGCTGTTTTAAGAATAGACGTACAGTCCTTTCTTCTGATCTGCCTGTCTTGATTCTGCTCCTCAGTATACTCTTAACCTCGTATGTGTCACGGGGACGAGCCAATCAGAAGGCCATAGAGAGACTGAAAGACATGCTGGTTATGGTAAGTCACATGTCATCAAACACTTACATACGTACAAATTAGACACAGAAGGAAAATGTTTGAGTTACTGCAGTTGATTTGGTTGTTGCAAGTGAATACTTTTCATGTCTATTGGTGTGTTGTGCTTCTCCAGTCTATCTGTGTGCATGCTGTGCCTTTACATTTGTATGTGTTTTGTCCCACAGAGCAGCTCAGATAAGCGTTTCCTGGTTAAAAAGCATGCCACGATGCTCAGACGTCAGAGAAATCCGCACAGAGTCTGTCCTGCAGCCATCGAAGAGGACGGGCATACTAACTGATTAAAGTACCCAAGCTGTCAGGCCTGTCCATCCACAGACTTAAATATAATTTAAATATAAAGCCGTGCTTTTAGGCAACCACAGCTGGGCGGAGGCTTATGGGTGGCTGAAAATAAGAAGTCAAAAGGACTGTTCCAGTTACGTGACATACAAAGATAAGAAAAGCAGTTGTGGCCTCTTCCTGAGGTCTTATTTTAACCTTCATGTGATGCATTCTCTAAATCATTTCTGCAGTCATTTTTTGGGGAATTAAAGATTTGATTATTATTCTATGGTCCTGTCGTGACTGTGAAAAAGTGTTACATATATGTAATTTTATTATTATTGATACGATGATCATAGTGCTAAGTTTTGTTCCAAAATGTCCCTTTACCTGAATTCAATGAACTGTAAGTGATTTTCAAATATCCTGCTCATTAAACCTTTGTGGTGCATTTTTAAGCTTTATGTGTCGCACTTAAAATAAAACCTAACACGCAGCCTAATATGTTATCTAGTTGCAACACGTGTGTAACACCCTTAGCGACACACATACACACACATTCGGACACTGAACGAAGCTATGGAGAAACGGTGTCAAAGATAAATGCGGAGCAGTTATGAAGAATCTACAAACTTTAACTTTGCTGCCAACTTTGGGTGAGTTAATCAACATAGTTTAAAACGGCAATATGAATAAATAATTTGATTGATTCATTTATATTCTTACAACAATGTGTTGTTGTTTCTTTCAGCTCTGGCACGTTTTTTCATCAGTATAAGTAAGTTTGTTAAAGTGGAGCTCCTTAAGATCTGGTGCTTGGCTGATCGATTGATCTTTAGTTGGTTCAGAACTTTCCAGATATTATTCTTTGATCTCAAAAACTGATATAAAATAATTTGTGGCTGTACCTGCTCATACTCTCTTTAAAACTTGTTATGGTTAAATTTCAGGGCTCCACTTAAACTCCCAGTGCTCACTGTCTCTCTTCAGGTGGATCGCTCTCTCCTCGGCCGGTTCTGACTGGTCCTGACATGGCTTACCTCGGCTCGAGGGTGACTTTCCGCTGTATTGCACCTAACTCCTCTCTGCCAGTCACCTATGAGCTGATTAGGAATGGGTACGCTTTAATCGCCACAGTCGCTGATCTCCAAGGGGACCAAACGGCCTCATTCAAAGTCGCTCCAACGTTGGAGGGGTTATACCACTGCAAGGCGACGACACAAGGAAGCACAGGAGTCAGCAACAACATCAAGCTGACTGTAGTCAGTGAGTGACAAACACAGAGAAAGCATTCATCCTGTTACAGCTTTAATAACTGGCTTATTTTACCGGAGACACTCCCAAACTTGACCTCTGTCTCGCCTCCCCAACCACCCATCCTTCCCCAACCTCTAGCTCCAGCATCAAACACCAGAGTGACTTCTGAGCCCTTCCCCCCAGTGGCATACGAGGGGTCACGCATTGAACTGAGCTGCAGCGTCGCAAAGGGTTCCCACCTTTTCTACACCTGGTTTTTCAACAGGACGGAAGTGACATCATTAACCTCTCCCCTGCTTCTCCTCACTGGGAACAAGCTGGTGATGGGGAAGGTGGCTCCAGAGCATGCTGGGTACTATTCTTGCATGGCTTGGTCCAGGGTGCAGGACACTATAGTTTCCAGCAGCTCAGAGGTCCAGGTGACAGTCAAAGGTGTGTAACAAAAAAAAAAAAAAGACGACACCTGCCTGACATGCTGGTTACATGTGTTTTGACTTTAGCCTAACATGTATTGTATCATCCCTGTCCCCGACTTCTCCCCTCTTTATTCCTCCACCAGTCTACGTTTCAAAACCAAGAATCTCTTTCTCCATCTCCAAAGAGGGAGCCAGCCACCGTGGCAACGTGACGTGCTGGTCAACAGGAGGGAGTCCTCCGGTCAACATCTCTCTTTCAGTAGATGACACAGAAGTGGGATTTGTCACAGTTGCTCAATCCCTCGCTGCCTGGTTCCCTGTCCCCATGGTACCCGGGCAGGACGTGGCCGTCGCTCGATGTCGGGTGAAGACTGAGGTGCAGGAGTTGATGAGTGAGCCTGTGACTCTGGAAATGGGTATGAAATACACCAACATATGTAGGAAATATGTTTTTTTGTGATTGCTGACCTGTCTTTCACCCCCCCTCATTCGTCCAGTGCCAGTCGGAGGTGATGTGAAAGTGGAAGTTGAATATCTCTACAGTGCTGACTCCAAACTGACTGCTGCCAAGCTGAGCTGCCAAGTCAGCAGAGGAACCTTCCCTTACATCTATTGGCTCTTGAACAACTCTGGCCTTCCCACTGAGACGGATGTGGACTCCCATATTCAGCCCGTCCTGTATCACGGTGCCCTAACTGACGGTAGACGGACCCTGGTTCTGGCCAAGCTTGGCCCAGAGGAGTCTGGGTATTACCGCTGCAGGGCCAGGGACAGCTACAATGACTCCGGGCCCTGGGTGGAGAGTGCAGCCGTGCTGGTCCGAGTCACAGGTAAAAACATCAAGCTAACAGTAAATAAGCTACAGTCAGCTGTCGGTTAGCTTAGCTTAGCATTAAGACTGGAAACAGGGGGAAATAGCTAGCCTGGTTATGTCGAAAGGTCACCAAATCTGCCTACCAAAGACCTCTAACGCTCACTAACTAACATGTTTGAGTACAACTTGTTCTTTTACGGGGGTTATGAGTCTTGAATACAGACTCATCTTAACATTTCACACGTGCCCGTTTATACATTTCCTCTTTGTGTGGGGTGTAGTTGATCTTTAGTGTTCTAAATCACACGTTCTACTCTTGCTCAGACAGGATCCTTAACTCCTTGCCTCCAGCAACATCCTCCACTGAAACACCACCAAGTAAAAAGCACATATCATATATATTTGAATGCCTTAAATCCTGCCTCTACAGTACGTAATGCTTCATTTGCTTTGTCCCTTCTCTTCCACAGAGGTTTTCCTGAACACCATAGATGTCCTCACCATAGTGTTCTGCTGCTTCCTCTTTCTGATGTTAGCAGTGGGTGTAGGCTGTGTGTACAAGATGTTTGACCACAAGCAAGGTGTGTGTATGCGTGTGTGTGTATTTATGTGTGACAGAGAAATCAATCCACTGGAAATATGTAACTCAATCTATATTAATTGCTCTTATGTCTTCTCCTCTCATTTCTTTCCCAGCTCGTGCCCACGTTGCTACAACAAAGTAAGCTTTGTCTTGATGGACCTCAGAAAGTTAATTGGTCTGTTACTCAAATCAACCTGTTCAACCAATGTTTGTGCCTTCCTATCCCAGTTCTGATGCACTTCCTCTATCTGCACCCACATCCCAGTCAGGGATGTGACTGGGATCGACAGACTTTGATGGTCAGAATCAGATATACAGGCGTGCGCAACACCTCATATAAACGCAATGATTTAGAATCAGTGATATAGTCCCTTAGTCTCTTATCATTTATTAAAATGAACTGATATGTAACTGTAAATTTGCTGGGAAAGACTATGTCATTTTAAAATTAACCATCACCCCCGTACTCCGATCTCTCCACTGGCTCCCTGTAGCATTTAGGATCCACTTTAAAATTCTCACCCTCACTTACAGAGCACTACACGTCCAGGCTGCTACATATGTCACTGAATTACTTCACCCTTATTCACCCGCCCGCGCTCTCAGGTCAAACATGTTAGGTTATCTGTCTGTCCCACGCACGCGCTTTAAGACCCGTGGTGACCGAGCTTTTGAGGCAGTAGCACCAAGGTTGTGGAATTCTCTGCCTGCACCCCTACGCTTCACAGATTCTGTGAATTCATTACAGAATCAGATCAAGAAGCACCTGTTTAGACTGGCATTTGACTAAAAACTCATGTCCTAGGCCTGTTATTAAACCATGTTTTAATTTTGTACTGTATGTAAATTGTTGGCCCTTATATGGTCACATTGTGTTGTTTATGTTTGTAATTCTGCTCTTGTTAAACACTTTGTGACTTGTCTGTCAAAAGCGCTTTATAAATAAATCTTACTTACTTACTTACTTAATTTGGTTCAAAATATAGGAAAAATAGACACAATATGTAATTGGTACACTTTCAGTTGAAAAGGTTTGCATTTTCCCAAAAAGAATCCCGTTAACTTCCTCAAACGTTTTCTGGAAAGAGCTACGTAGCCCTGCAGTGCACAGCAACTTTACTGATTATCTCTGTATGCTGGAATGAAGTGATTGTGAATGTGACTGTCAACTGATGTTTTGTTGTTGGTCTTCTTTTTTCAATTAAACCAATGAAATAAATTATCCTTTATTACACCTTCACATCCTCGCAAATCCTCTGACTTATGTTGTTTTGATACTGACATTTTTCAAAATATGACACAACAGTTCTGAGTAAATGACTTGATCTTATGATGTTACGAGGGGGGGGGGGGGGGGGGGGGGGGGGGGGGGGGGTGTTT